TGTAAAGAAAAAAAATAAAAGAACGGGATGACATTATCTTTAAGTAAAATCAAAACTAAACTTAAGATTCGTAATAAGTCCGTTTAAACCTCTAAAAACCTATTGTCGCCGATCAGTGACATATCTAGGGTAGATTAAAGAAATAAATGACCCTCTTGACAATATAATGTATAGATAATACAATGAGACAACACTTCAAAAAAAAATATTTTCCAGTATATCCCCTTCTCTCTAAATAGAGCATATATTACTTTTCACCCACTTAACTGCGAATACATTAGAGGATACTGTGACTACATCACTATCTTCGATTTACTAAAATTTGTAGATTATACAAACTAATTCAGATATTTTCGAAATAAAAATTAATCTAAACAAAGTGATAACATTTCTCTATAATATTTCAATTTTATTTATCTTTGCTTACCATGAAATGTCAATATTTTACTCTGCTCAGGAAACTAAAGGCAGGAAGTGGAAGCCTTTTAAAATTAACTGAAACAACAATTTTCCTTTCGGTTTACGTGCTCAACTGTCAATAAAATAAACTTTTATTGTTGTGCAATTTTTTTCCACATCTCCTTTTCGACTCAAAAGGATGCAGCAACTATCAATATTTTACAAAAGCATCCTTACACATTCACACTTCAATTGGAAGCAAATATTTAAGGACAAAAAAAAATGCACATTAAAACAAAAAAAATTAGTGCACAAAAAAAAAATACACTGAAAAGTAAACATTGACACATTTAAAAGCGTTTGTTGTATATATATAAGTATATATGTATATATATATATATATATATATTATGTACAGGGAATACAAACACATGTGTGGATTTCTGGAAGCTTTAACAAATCCACTTATACATGGCTCAACATGGTAAGAACTTTCTTGCCAGCAAAAATGAGTCACACATAAATTTACAACATATCGGAAGAAAATAAAATACATTGTCTGTATGAAAGGATACTGTGTACTCCTATAAATATATAAACAACAAATTTAATATTGGCTGAGAAAGCAGAAAAATTAAACTTCAAATACTTTGTGACAACAGAACTTGCCAAAGTAGCAAGCAATTTTCTCGACATTCGCAACTGTGGTTAAAAGATTGTTTACAATGCAAGAAGAAGAGTTTGTTCTGCTTTACTGCAGCACTTTTTCAATTTAATGCAATGCCACTTATCTCTTATAGCAACGCTGGATGATATAGTGTTAACTTAGGAGTGTGCAACGCAGCCATTTGAAGTGTGGTCCACTTTCAACTACATTTAATGGAATACATATTTACTATATTTATTATTTATGTATGTATATAACAAATCTCTAAATAAATTAATGATTTTTAAGTAATACATTAAATTCTTTCAATGGATGTTAACACAATTTTGAAATTATTGCAATTAGTTTAATGAAAAAATATGCTGTCAATGAAAAATAGAAAAATGTGAAGGAGTTTATGAAATATATTTATTCCGGCTAAAACTAAGTGAAATTAATTTTTAATTAATTGCACTACTGAAAATACGTCACAGTTGCTTTACGTTTTTTTTTTATTATATCATATTATATATTTAAATAGAGCTTATATTACTTTTCACCCACTTAACTGCGGATACATTAAAAATTTTGCTACCCAATGAGGCAATAAAATGTTGTTGTTGTTATTGTACTTGTTAATCGTTGCCTTTTGCTCTGTAATACTTGATGAGCCATAACAAAACCTAGGCATACAGAGACTATAGCACAGACCTTTTATGTGCAATATTATTACAGCAGTTGAAAATGCAATAAAGTAAAGCATAAAACTTCAGCTTAACATATGTGCAACCTGCTGCACATCTTGAGCTAACAATATAACAAAGTTAATGTGTTTAACAAAGTAAGTGCAGCTGAGTACTTATAACCACGCCCGCACAATGCATTGTAGGAGTGGATCAAATTTTTATTAGAAAGTAGAAAATTGGAATTTACATATCGAATTGATATCAAATAACCATTAAAGTTTAATCAAATAAAAAATTTTACTAGCTTTTTGCTTACCCTTGAGTCTATAATAGAGAAAATGTGCTTAAGTCTTTCAACATACCTATACACTATATGCTTATAGTTATCTTTTATAGTTACTTAAGCAATTGGAACAAAGTTTGATTTATAATCACTTTAAAAAAAAATTTAAATACAAAATGTTTGGAATTATACATAGAAATAAACTTTTGGAAAGGACATTTTCCTAGGAAGCAGCATCAATGACGCCAGGACGATGTTATACAGGCAGTCATGGTCACGTTAAATGAAAAATTGCTTTCAATGTACATTGAAGCTTTGTTTGAGAGATAGAGAAATATAATATCATTCAAATGTATGCAAACAGATATATTGCGGTACTAGACCCTTTTTTGCGGAAATTATTGATAACTTTTCAACATACACCTCACTTTCGAAACTCCAATATACTCCACCTCATAGAAAAAGTCAGTTATGACAAATCGCATAATCAAGCACTTCGAAACAAATGATCGCTTGTTTTTTCGGGAAAACTGGTCTTCTGGCAACTATACGAGTACCATTACAAGAACGTAAAACGGTCAATTCCGAATAGTATACAATCATTCCATATTTTTTATTCACTATACTCCTCTACGGGACAAACGCCTGGACGCTGTCTGTTGCATCAATGAATAAGTTCGAGGCTTTTGAAATATGGTGCTATCGACGTATGCTGAAAATAAACTGGAAAGAAAAAATTACAAATTTTAGAAATTTTAGACACAGTAAAACGCCATAAGTTGGAGTTTTTTTTGTTCATATTCTGAGGCATCGACGGACTACTGAAATCAATCATTGAAGGCAGAATTAAAGGTAGACGGAGCCCTGAGAGACGAAAAATATCATGGCTGAAGAATTTACGTCAATGGTTTAATAAAAGTACAAGATCGCTTTTTCGAGCAGCTGTAGATAAAGTTAAAAAGCAATCATGTTATCCAACGTTCGAAGCGGACAAGGCATCTAGAAGAAGAAGATACAATCATTTGTTTACCATAAATCTAAAGTGAAATACGGAATATAAACAACCGGCTTCGAATCATTTTCCGTCAAGACAATGCGTGTGCTCACACATCTCATCAAAAAACCGACTATTTGAAAATTAAATAAATCGAATTGATGTGTCATCCGCCATACATTCCTTACTTAGCACTCAATGATCTCTTCTTGTGATCGAACGTCAAGAATAAATTGCGTGGACAACGTTTTTTGTCAGCGTTGCATTTAAAAATCATGTTTTGAAGGTGTCTTAAGAAGATTGGAAAAATGCTTAGACATATAGTTCGAACGCGTATATACTACGAAAAATATTAATACATTTTTCAACGACAAGTTAAAAAATTCAAATAAAATCCAAATATCGATGAATTATCAACAAATTAGCAAGTATCTTGCAGTAATTTTAATCATGTCAATCATATCATCTAACGTCAAACTACTCAAAGTCAAAAAGATATATTTTTATAATGTGTAATATCGGCAATAACTACAAAAATAGTATCGAAGATTTTATAAAAATTTCTTAACATTTAATGTAATTTTAAAAAGATTTAATTTTTAATTAATTTTTCAATTACAGGAATTAGAAATCCAACCATTACAGCCCTAGGTAAGCTTAAGTTTATTTTGATATTGCTTTCTAGACTATTCGATAATCATCTCTGTAAAGCAATTTTCACTCCCATCAATCCAACATTTTCGGGGAGCTCCTCTCGCTCTTGCCACAAAATCTTGATGCGATATATATGTCAATCAACCAAATTGTTAGTATACATTATAATAATAAAGCTCAATGAAATTTTTGAAAATAAATTTGCCTGAAGAGGTTAAAAAATGTTATCAAAACATTTACCGTTAATAACAATGACAACCTGGCGGCAATGTACTCATCAGGAGAATACGAGTACATATAATAACTTTCGTTCAACGTAAAATTGCGTGTCTGAAGAAAAATCAATTTTATATTAAAAACAAGTGAGGAAAATTTATGGCGGATGCCAAACAGGAGGAAGCAAAAGATTCATTTCCTGAGCATACAGCAACAGTTGCCGCAACCACAATCAGCGACACTTTTCATGTATTGGTTGTACTGTTAGAAAAACATAAAACGCACATTTACACGCAGAAAGGCTATTGCTGCTGCTCTACCGCTGTTACTACTGCTGTTACGGTTGTTGCTGATACGGATTCTGTTGACGACACTGATGCTGATTGATGTGCATTTATGACATGCAACATATACAGTATGTACTCTGTGATACTTTACTTTACTCTGCGTGGTAAAAGAAACATATCCTTAGGATATGACTTAATACAGATTTGAAATATATACTCACATATTAAATGAACTACAATTTTGTGTTGACATGATAGCGTGATTGGATTGGATGGTAAGAAATTAAATTATTAAGGAAACCAGGCATAGTCTGAAGTGGCTATAAAACTTATTCAAACTCATTAATTAGGAGATATTCTATACGTTTGGTCTTTTAAGAAACTTTTATATATAGTAGTTAATTAAATATCTCACCCTACTTAAAAATTGTCAAATACAATAAATTGAGGTATTGATATAATTAACAAGCGAGGGCTGTTTGAAAAGTTGAGTATTGCACTTAATTAGTTATAAAAATTCTTTTGTTGTTGTTGTTGTGGTTTCTTGGCTTATCCCTGCCCCTCACTAAGCTTTAACCCTACTAGAATTCATATAGTTTAATTATCGTTTAACTGATATCGAACCGTAAGTCAGTATATCTTCCTGTGGATCCTGAAGTGGACTTGAGGTTTGTTAGGGCGGGGTTGGGCAGCATATTTTTTGTAATATTTTTTTTATAACCTAACAATTTTAAACAAATTAAAAGTATGTTTCCACTACATACTTAGTAAGTGTAAATATATATATATTTAATTATTGTATTGTGTAATAATAATTTTAATTATTACCATCTACAGGACGACTTTTTTTTTACTTCCAATAAGCATGTTTTTTTCTATTGGCTAGATAGAACTACTCTGTAAAAAAAATTGGATTACTAAGTAAGTTAATTATTTATAAATCAGAATTATCAAAGTCTAGCACGTTTCAATAAAAAAAAATATTTTGTTCCATTTGACAGTTAATGAATTTATCTGTCAATTTTCTTACATCAATTATTAGTTTTTAAATTTTTGTAAATTTCTTTTCATTGTAATTTTTATTCTACTAGAAATTGTGATTAATTTGAATAGTTTAATTTAAAAATAAATCTTAATATATATTAATTTCAAAGCTACAATATGGATGCCAAGATTAGTGAATTTATTCCTGAAAGTAAGATTGAAAATTCTAAGAAGGAAACTGTTCCAGAACATATTGGCGATATGAACAAAATTGCATCTGCTAACCAAGCAGAGACCGAACCCAAAGGTAAGTTTTTAATTTTTATAGTGACGTTGTATGCAATAAAGGCAAAAATGTTTTTCTATTACTTGTCTATATTGAAAACAATTTCTAGTATAAAATTCACGTTTCATTATTTCTTCCAACGAATCAAGGAATTTTATAATCAGGACTATATTTGAATATTTTTAACTACTTTAATATTAGTAGTATTAATAATAATATCCCACTCCATATTAGGGAGGCATGTCATAAGATAGGGTCTACCCTATAATGACTTTTGTGGTTCCTATGATGAGAAGGAAACTGTGCTTCCACCTCATGTGCCCATTTTTAGCTATAGGATCAAAAATTTTCGAGGCCCATTTTCTGACCAAGTTGATTTACGTTTATCTAATGGAGGTGTCGTTGTCTTTTTCATACATCGATCTTTTAGTCTATGTACAAATTAACGTTATTCTTGTGGTACTACACCGGGCCATTATTTAAGCTCAAGTGGGCTTTCTTTCCACCTACCTTACCTTACTACCTTACTTCATATGAACCATAAAAGGATTCTAGAGATACAATATGAAAAGTTTTTATATTCCGTTATTCTTCCCAAATATATAACACAAAGTATTGTTATGCTGATAAAACCAAACATACAGGATATCGTGGAATAAAACAAATTACATATATTAGTTGTTCCTCTGATATGGACTACATGTAGTACCTATATGTGTAAAACTCAGTAAGAAATGTTATGCTGTATAATGATATAAACAATATTTGGTATTATCAGAGTCTTAAAAAAAAATACCACTGATTCCAGTACTTAAAACAACTGGATGTGCAATAAAAATCTGATCTTGATAAATACTAATATTCAGATAAGCACTGAAAACAAACATTTCAGAGACGAATACGATTTGAATATCAAAACCTAATCAGTGGAGTACATAACGTGGTTATTTTAAGGTTCAAAGCCTCCTAAAATATTTTACACTATTTTAGGCTAGACATAATGCAACTTTTTCAATTAATTAATTAATTAATTAATTATTTGCGTAGGAACTTTAAATGAGTTCTCAAAACCTTCTCTTAAATGCGACTCTATATAAGCTCCTGATCAGAAGCAACTCTTCAATGCATATGTAAGAATGAATTTCAGACTACATTCTGAAAAATTTTTTAGTCAGGTATAGAAAATGATAAAAATGTAGAGATTTTTTTTCTAATTAATTTTAAGCAAGATATTTTTTTCAATGTTTAACAATTAATATATATTCTCTTTACACAGATGTGGAACCTACTTCTAACAATTGCATCGAAATACCTAATCAAATCAATGCACTTCAAGAACTAGGTCTAATGGATGATTTTACATCAAACAATCGTATCGATACACCTACTCGAAAGGAAGTTATTGAAGAATTAGATCTTATGGAAGAAATAATTTTCAACAATCACATTGAAAGATCGAATGGAATGGATGCAATTGAAGACTTGGATCAAATTGATGAAGATACATCCAACAATCACAGAGAAAAAGCTAATAAAAATGATTTAATTGTAGATTTAAATCTTGTGGAACAACATATTTTAGGCGATCACATTGAAACACGTGATAAAAAGAATACTTTTAAAGATTTAGATCGAATGGATGAGCTGACACCCAACGAACATATCGAAATATCTAAAAGAAATAATGCTCTTAAAGAATTTGATCGAATGGAAAATAATGGTAATTCATATATATTGGAATTTGAAGTCAAAAAAAAATTAAATTTAAAACCTGTTTGACAGAGTTTTCTGACAATTGTGACGAATCCATTAAAATTAAAAATGATCACAAATTAATGAATGCGGAAGTTTGCTTGGACATTGGTAATAAAGTTAACACGGAAGTGAAGCCTCTTAATGGTATTATTTAACTTTTAACTTCTTTATTTTACTTTCTACATAATTATGTATTTAGTACCTACGGAAGACAATCTGGAACAATCTCATGATAAAAATGGCTTAATGGATGATACCGATTTTAATATTCGTGGTAATAGATTATTTGTTTCTCAGTAAATTTTACCTAATTAAAGTCTTTATCTTACTTTCTACATAATTATGTATTTAGTACCTACGAAAGACAATTTGGAACAATCTCATGATAAAAATGGCTTAATGGATGACACAGATTTTAGTCTTCGTGGTAATAGATTATTTGTTTCTCAGTAAATTTTACCTAATTAAAATCTTTATCAATTTAAGATAATTGTGATGACGATAATAGCAAAAATAGTAATGGTAATTATATATTTTTATTATTTCAAAAACTTCATAAATATATTCAACTATTTGTTTCGAATGATCCTCTCTGAAATTTAGAAAGAGACCACATTGTTAATGCTATAGAAACAGTCAATATCGATGTGGATATGGATAGTAATGAAATTTATTTAAGTTCAATTAGTAGTGATGATACAAAAAAATTGGATGGGAGTGCTGAAGAAGGTGTTAAAATAACACATTCGAATAACAATAGCAAAATTAATGATGATGGTGATGGTGATCAAAATGATATTGAAGTACTACAACGTAGTAATGACAATAGCAGCAATAATGATAGTAGTCATGAAGGTCAATCTGAAACATTACAACGTAGTAGTGACGACAGCAGCAGTAATGATAGTAGTGATGAAGATTATTTTGAAATACTACAACCTAGTAGTGACGATAACAGCAACAATAATAATAGTGATGAAGATAATTTGGAAATGTTAGAACATAATAGTGACGACAGCAACAATAATGTTAGTAGTGATGAAGATCATTCTAAAGTACTACAACCTCAATTTAACGATTGCAATATACATGCTAGTAGTGATGAAGATGATATAGAAATAGCACATCCTAATAACAAGAACAGGATAACTGATAGTAGTGATGGAGATGATATTAAAACAGCACAATCTAATAACGCCAACAACGTTATTGATAATACAGGTGAAGATAATATTCAAATACCAAAACTTTGTAGCGATATTCGCAACATTAATAACAGTAGTGATAAAGTCAATATTTGTATACCTCAAACTTGTGACAAGAACGTTGTAAAGGTTATTATTAAAAGACTTAAACCTCCAACAAAAGAAAAAATCGGCAAGTAACAATTTATTTATATATGTTAAGTACTGATCATTCTTATTCAATAATTAACATGTTGAATAAAAATCAATCAATATATTGCTTAACAGTTATAGTTAGCATTAGAGATTAACGTTATTTTTGACTGCCTTTGTACGTTTTAGTTCCCTGGTACTTTTCTTTTACATAAAAAATATAAAAGAGTAGAACTTTCTGGACCTATACCAGATCAGAGGCTACTTGTCGCATAACTTTTAACCAGATCACAGCTACCATTTTGTGGCATATATAAAGGATTCGAAGTATAATTAGTCATAAATTCGAGAACGACTACTATGTTAGGCATACACAAAACTGTTAAGACCAAGCTATTTGCCATTCATACAAAGTTCAAAAACAAGCTTTGCATCATGAAGACATTAACCATTGTCCACTGTATAACATGCTGCCAAAATTTAGTAGCTTTTCCATAGTATAGGTATATTTCACCATAATATTGTAGGTAAAATAGGTTGGGATTTACTAACTTCAACTATGTGTTAGTCCATATAACAGTTAAAATGAATCAAAACGTTAAGAAAAAATTTATAATAGGTCTGTTCCACTAGCTACTCGTAGTAACTTTGATTAACACTGTGAATATACAAGCGCATTCCACCAGCAAATTTTCGAATAAATGAAAACATCTGAGAGAGCGTAACATCCCTGTCGAAATTTGAAAATGCTACACAGACTTTACTCGTACTTTTTATTTCAAGTTAAATTTGTGTTGATATATAAAACAGCTGATTTGGTTTTAATTTGAATTTTTGTAGTGTTTATTTGCGCGGCACTCGTGTTCTCAGCAGACTTTACACAAGGCTGTTCCAAGAAGATCTGTGTAATGAGCGTACTTTGACACTTTATTTGTGTTACGCTCTCAGTTTGTACTTTACTTGTGTTTTACTTGAGTTTCACTACGAGTAGTTAGTGGAACAGACCTAATATAAAATATAATCACGATTTGTTTTAAACTAGACTAGAAACTAGACTTTGATTATACTGTGTAGTGTTCTGTTCTGACTTGGTACAATTCATATAATAAATTGTATATCGTTCTCTTTTAATCGTTCATTTGATATATATATTTTAGTTAATATCGACCAGCGCTCTGATGCAGACTGTGGTAAACGAATCTTAGCCGATGTGAGTAATACTTTTCCTAAACCTGACGAATCACTTGCAATACAAGAACACTTCACAGGTAAGTACATAATAATTGTATTTATATACTAAGACGAGTATGTTTACAATTTTAATTAAATCTTTTTAGCCAATATAAACAAAAATAGAATAGAGTATAAATTTAGAATCATAAAATCAATGATGCATTTTCTTTTCCTATAGAACCTCAACCTGAGGAGCTTAAATTAAAATCAATTACTGATAACATTTCTTCTCAAAGAGATATGGATTTAAGAAGGTATTCTAAGTCAATAACGGCTGCACAACCACAATTAGATGACAAAATTGAAGTGGATTTCAGGAGAAAGCAATTAGAAGATCCACTTACAATGATCAAATTAAATGAATTCAATAGGAATTCAAGGCATTTAAGTAGAAAACGTTTAATAAAATTATTAAAAAATGATATAAAGTATGAGCGAAAATCTCGCAAAAATAAACAACACCGAAAGGGAAAGAAAGGCAATGATCATCAAAATGCTGAATGTAATTACCTAGAATTCTTATTTAGTTTAAATAAGATCGACGGTTGCTGGAAAAAAGGAATAGATAAACTGTTTCTAGATTTAAACAAACGTTTATCGCTACAAGAAAATTGTTTATTCCATAACACTCTAAGAAAATATCAATCCATATTTGAAACCATCGGTAATACGATGATTGAGGAATTGAAGACTACAATTTATAAGGATTTACTAAAGACCTCCTATATTATGCAACGTAAACTCTGTGCAAATAAACGTAAACGGTCCAATAACTCACTGGAATCTGAATTACCAACTAAAAAAAAAGTATTAAAAGAGCATTAAATAATTTAAACAATTAATTTTGAATATTAATTTCTCATTAATTAATTTAATTCAATAATTTTTCCTATACAATCACAAAACTTTGTTAACTATCAGAATAAAAAGTTCAAATAGATTAAAGCGATATGTTTTAACTGATATGTTTAGAATATCTACGTTATATACAATTAACTTGTGAATTAATATTACTGTTAAATTAGTAGTATTACATTTTAATTAAAAAATCTATTTCTAAATTTTTGTATAAAAATCCACATCACTTTCTATCTAAGGCCTCGGTGAACTCTACTACGTAAAACGATATCCTGTGTGTCTGTGGTCCTGCCTGTTCTCAATAAATCGTAAAACATTAGCTGAAATCTTATTCTGTTATGAGAAAAAGCAACATTCGTTCCATGAATTAATATAATTTTTTAATTTGCATTCCACTCTTTAACCTCAAGTGTGTTCCGGAGCACCTATCACCTTGCGGGATTCACCTTAACAATATTGCTGTATTTTGAGTGTATATGAGAGTGGTTTTAAATCCATTAAATAAGAAAGATTCTACGAGGACATTGCTTTTTTAAATTTTAATTTTATCTGAGTTGCAATAGTACTCTTCCATTTCAACTTTCCATAAAATAGAAGTGACTGTAGTTACCTAACTCTGTAAATCGATAAAAGCACTTCTAACCTTATTGATTCCAAAAGAAACAATCTTCTTATGCTTTTTTTTTCATTTCATATTTCTAAAATTTTTTGTTTGGAATGGAAGAAGGTATTGGAACCCTATATTAGCTACTCATGATCATACATTTTTCTTTACTAATTGATAAGCATGTTTCTTGAAACTTAAAGTAGAATTAACTTAGGCAACCTTTAATGCTGGAATACGACATTAGCGTATTGCAAATATTCTGGATAGGTTAATGGTTGATTCTGCAGTGCACTTTCTGCACCATTCAAAAAAATCCAAGCCAGTCTAATCGATGTAAAGACTTTACTTAAAATGAGAAGCAAACTTATGTCTCTATTGTTATTGCAATTGGAAACATCATACTTTTCGGTAATTTAATGTAATATAATTTTATATATTTCAATCTATATAATTCTTCAGTTTCCACAAACCCATATAGTTACAGCTATATTTGGATCACATTTGAGAATCGCGTGAGAATTGCACAACCTAAGGAACTTGGTTAATATTCATTTTTTTTAATAAAATAAAAAGAAACTAGGTTTATGTAAATTCCTAATATAAAATATATATTCTTCCAATTCGCCGAAGGGTCCTACCAATTACGTGGGTACAACATTTGGACTACGATATTATTTAAACGTGAGCGATTTAGATTAGAAATGAATGGACTAATTGGGTGTGAAGTGAAATAAAAGAAAGAGAACGGCAAATGGAGTTAGCATAAACTATTGAAGATACTGAACTATCACGTACCAAGATTTTGCAACATTCCCTTTTAAGTGACAGAAATAGAGAACTTCAGATCAATTAGATGGTGTTTGTATGCATAATTGGACGATTAAATAGATATATGGTATAATGTTAGGGATATAGAGTGAATACTGAATATCCACTAATACTTTCTGAATAACTTTAGTAAAGGCGAAGAATACTGTATACAAAAACTATTAATTTTATATAAGCCACCTGTTCTCAGCTAAAAATATTTAATAGCACGTTTTTTACACAACACTCTACTACATATATAATGTCCTTTCATTTTATACTGATTTTTTTAACAGATTATTATTGTTTTTCATTTCTTCATTTGCAGAGATTACAAAATAAATAACAATTCAAAATTCCCTTACATTTTTTATGTCATAAATTGCGTATTAGTTTAATCTTCAAATGGAAAAAGTGCCTATTAGAGAGCAAAGTTCAGCAATACCTTTCTACGTACATCAGAAATTCTATTTAAAGACGTAAACTAAACTTTTTCTCAAGCTGCCGTCCTTAGGTTTGTCTATTTTTCTTTTCTTTTGGTTTTATCAATGTAAAAAGTTTTCGTTTAAATGCAGTTTGAATTTTCCATTTTCAATTGAAATGGAAAACAAAATAAAAAATAGACACCTACAAGGCAATAATATGCACATCCAAGAAAGCAAGCGACGGAAACTAATACCCAAAGTGCAACTCAAATAGTTTTTCCGACTTTGTTGATGTACGCTTTCTGCCCGCAGGTGACGCTTCTTGGAGCATGATAAATTTAAGTTTTCAGATTTAAGTTTATGTTTCGCAACTACAATTTTGAAAATGTAAAAAGTGGCACCTGAGATCATGGAGTGGAGCAATTGCATCACTTGACAATTGCTTGCAATAATTTACAGTTCAAATGCTTTTGAACTTTTGTAACGCATGTTCAGCACTTCACTGCTGAAGATTTTACTCTAGTTGGATAAAGTTTACTCCATTTGTCAATGGAGGAAAACGAAGTTTACTTGGTACTTTAATCAAGGTAAGTGTTATATATTGTGAATTTATTCTTATTTCGTATTATTTTTATTAATTTTGCTAAAGAATTTTGATTGCTCAAATAGTGAAATTGTGCTTATAACAATAAACAACATATAGTATTTTTACCAATCCAATACCAACAACAGTTTATTGTAATATCTTCTTAGATAGAGTTGAAAGACATCCACAAAAAGACTTACAAAATGAACTACACTACCGCAATTAACATCTGAATATAGCCACGTACTAAACATTTACTTGCCACACATAAATACATCTGTAATCCAATGACACCGACCGTCTGAATGCATGTCCAAATACACACGGATTTGAATCCCATGGATTAATGTTTCCTTTCTATTGGGATGATATTATTTGGATCCCATATAACAGGTTTAACGTAAGTACCCATCTCTTTTCTTATTCCTACTTTATAACACTTCACTCTCTCCATCCTGTGCTATAGTCCAAGTTTTTTATCCTTATATGTGGTTACTTTTCAAAACAGCGTGAGTATATTTTTCATGAATTTTTTATTTTAGAAATATAAAGCATTCATATATCGGTAATAATAATATGTAAATACATAATTTTACGTAAATAGTGACATTGTTTCGAGAAGATATGTTTAAAAAATAAAAGTTTTCTCCTCCTGATCCTTCTACAATTAATAAGTTAGCGTATATGTATGTTTTTTACCGACAGACGGCCTACAGCTATTGTTGTACTTTTATTCACACAAAAATAGCTTAAGCATGAAATATATCTATTTTGAATTTAAAGAATTTTTGTCATATTGTTTTGAATAAAAACTATTAGTATTACTATTAAAAAAAATTCTTACTGTTAATGTGTTATCATATAAAGCGAAGTTAGCGACATGCAAATGACTAAAAGATAAAACAGATACTTTGTATTCTTTAAAGAATTACAAATTATTTCGTTTTGCAGTTCTTTACATTAACAATATTTATTTAATGTGAATGAAAACTTATTTTACGAAATAATATACGTATTTAATATTATAGTATTATCTTATCGCTCACATCATTATAACATAATAATAAATATTCAATATAGAACGTTTTCGTTTCATTTTAACTGGTTTTAAAAAATTTAATTTTCAAACCCGTATACTTTTAAATTCCCTGCCTCACGTCGTCGATCATTATTATCTTTATCATCACAAGCATAAGCTAGTAAGTATTTTTTCGGATTCCAAGCTACAGTAAATGTTGATGCATCTACCGGTACTTTTGTTACTTTCTCACCCGTTGTAGCATATGCAATATCAATAAACAAATCTTCACTACCAGAAGCTATTAATTTGCCATCATGACTGAAAGAAATAGTGCGTACAGGCCATTCCAAACGTTCGATTACATGTTGACATGACAATTCGTTCGCATTCCAAACAGAAACCAAAGAATCAGCAGATCCAACAGCAAAATATTTGCCTAAAACACATATGAGCATATATTAAATAAATAAATAAATGAAAAATTCATATAAACATACCAGTGGGATCAAATTCAATGCATATGCATGTCGCAGGGTGTCCTCGAAGTACTTCCATTGATTCTAAATTAGGATAACTCAAAACGTGTACACTACCTGTACCACTAGTTAAAAAGAACAAATTATTGTTTTTATTCCAAGCGATTTCATTAACCTAAAATTATATAAATTAACAAAAACACATAGAATAGATTTGTATTTAAAATGCCTCAAAGTTAAATTGTTTCTCGACTTTTATTTTATTTGTACGTGCATCGATAAATGTCACTAAATCATCCTTATTACCAACAGCTATTGTTTTGCCATCTGGTGACCAAGTTATATTAATATTTTCACCTTTTGTATTCACAACAGCAGAACACCTTCCAGCTCTAGCGTCCCATATGCGTACAGACTTATCACCACTAGCTGTACTTAACAAATCTGGATGATGTGCGTGCCAACACAGCTGATCTACAGATGCTGTATGACCACGTAAAGTGGTATCTTTTGCCTAATATATAAAAAAATTATTTTTATATGTAATATTTAATTATTTTTTTTTTATTAAACCAACCAAGCGATCTCTGTCTAATGTGTACACAACAACAGTTTTATCAAATGAACCTGAAGCTAAACGACGTCCTTCACAGCTCCAACCAACTGAATGCACCTATCATAATTTTTAAATTTCAATATAATTTTAATACCCTAAAAATATTAATAAAAAATGTTAAATTAGAAAATTTTACTAACCTTCGCTGAATGCGCTCTCTGCTCACGTACGATCTTATGCCTTTTAAAGAAATACTGCAAATCTTTTATATCCGACGATATTTGTGCACTTGTTTGCATTTTAAACAACTTTTATTATGTTACAAAATTAATTTATATTTTTTATGGAAAACCGGCACTTTGGTAAACAAAAATTCTTTTTCATTTGAAAATGCTCAAAGTGCATATGGTACTATTTTCATTTTGACAGCTGTGTGCAGGGTTGCATTTTCTGCAAAATAATTTTTATAAAAATTACACAAAACTAAATTTCAAAGTATTATACATATTTGCATATGATTTGCATAATCTTCTGATCATATATATTTTGTGAAACATAATATTTTGTAATTTGTGATAATAATATTAAATAATTACATAAAAACATATGAAAAGTTCATACAAGTAAAATATTTTTGAAATCCGTCAATTGCACACGATTTTATCAGGCATAGTTCACATTATATTCAATTTTAGCTGTCAAAAATTTATTTTGTAATAACAGCTAAACTTACAAACAAAATTCTTGTGTGAATCCAGTATAAACTTGATATCTTATACCACAAGTTCAAAAATGATCTATAGATCATAAGTATCCGTTGTACAATATAATAGCCTATCATTAAAGAAACAGAAAATAGTTTTGTAGGTTATGACTGAAATTCAAATATTTTCTCAATAAAAGACTATAGAAGGGCTTAGACGTGCTCAATAACTCAATTAATCGAAAAAGTTTTATATATGTTTTATTTTGTATTACCGAATTACCGAGACATCAAGTCTATTTTTTTTTTGGATTAACTCATTCTAATCATTATAAAGTCTCGCATAAAATTTGAATTGAATTTAAAGTGTTTAAGAAATATTATTAATTTGAAGTTATGAGTGGAAATCTTAAAAAAAGAGGAAGACTTCAAAATAACAAACAAAATTATCTGCTTTGAGCATTTAATTTTTCAGCTCTACCCCAAGACTAATATCCATTTCCCTTGAAACATTCCACGAAATTATACTTCATTTTTTTTATGAAGTTTTATGTCAATTTTTCGTTAGATTTAAATATTAGATCTAAAGTTTACCGAGAAATAATTTAAAAAAAGCGTTCAGACATACATATATCATTTTGCATATTACCGTGTTATATGTAGATAACCCTGATGTTTTTCCTTTTATTTAACATTTTGACTTCAATAAGATTTTTAATTTACAGCGTTTTTAATTGAATAAAGAGATATAAATAATAAAATTAATTTAATTTCCTGTTTTTTAGTATTCTATAATTCAATTAATTAATGTCATAATGAACTTTATAAGACATGGATTTCCCCTTACTCATTATTTTTTAGTTGTAATTATGTGTAATGATATGAAAGCATTGAAAAAATTCTTTGCATATCCCGTTTTTCAAATCAAAACGTTTATTTGTCATATATTTGATGTCTATTATATGCATACATTTTATAAAATCACAAAATATTTACTTCAGTACGAGTAATGGCAACAGGCAGCAACAACGGCCTTCACAGTACTTTGTTAGTAAATAAAATAATCAAAATGACCGTGGACCCCGAGTTGTTTCGACGAATAATATTTCAATGCCAGATAGAAATTCTCAATTTTTAATACGGAAATATTATCAGATCAAGTGAAAGCGTTGAGTGTTCGATGCTTCTCAACAGTTTTTAGTTAAAGAATTTATATAAAAGAACCAACAACAAAACTAAAATAGTCGCTAAAAACTAATAAGCAAAATGAAACTACATTTAGTGCTATTTATATTTTTCTTAAATTTAATATTTACAATGTGTAATCCATTAACTAACATATTCAACCACATATTCAACACACAAGGATCATACAGCAATGGATACAATCGCCGACAGTCAGCGCCTTACTCAGCACCTCGTACGCCTCAACGATCTTATAAGCAAATATGTCATTTAGTGAACACAAATGGATTTACTAATCCTGGAAACGTGCCGAAATGTCCTTATTGATTACGTTTATGTTCTTAAGAATAGTATTTAACAATTGCAAAAGTTAAGAATATATTTAAAAAGGCGTATATAATGTAATAAATAAAATGTTTTAATTTATTTAAGTAAAATATTTTATATTTGCGCATAGTTTAAGATTTATACTAAAGGCCTAACAAGTTATGTTTAAATATTTAACTAAACATTTTAAATTTAAGATAATTCGTGGTTATTTATTAACAAATTTTTACTATTTAAAATAGTTTATATTTAAATAAAGATATAAATGCATATACTAAAATTTGCTATTCCAGTTGGTTAATGTAAAAAAATTAATTTAAAATCTATATCAATGTTACGGCATTTTCTTAGCACTTATCATTATGCATACACGGTTTCAGTCTAATCTAGCCTAGCCTAATCTAAAATAGCCTCTTTTGTACAATATAAAACACACATGCTAAGAAAAGCGTAAAGGCAAAGAACAGCAACATCTTATCTGTACACTCTCGTCGTCCATATTTCTTTAACAACTTGCCGGACTGTGATATTGTACCTGCCGTATTGTGTAATTCATCCCTAGTGGCTTCAACGTTCTGTGATGAAGCAACCAACGTTTCAAGTGTGTGAGCACTTTTTTGCGTTGTCTCAGACAAATGTCTTGATATGGCCAGCATTTTTTCGGTAACATTATTTTCCTGTGATACTAAACTAGTACGATTGTGACGTGCACCCGCCGTAGTACGTTGACGCAGTTCACTTTCACCTGTTATAGCCATCAATTCTTCACGATTAGCTTTTTCTATTTCCAACATAGCTGATATGTTAGCTTTACGAAAAGCTTGCAGTGTTTTAGAGAATTGCTGTCGATATTCGTCTACTTCTTTGGATAGATCCGGATCACTCATATCACGTGCCCAGTCATCAAGGTGTTGTATATTTTTACGTAAAGCAGCTAATTTTGCTCTGCCAACTTCATTGAACGCTTCTAATTCAGATATGGATCCACGGTATGTAAGTATGTCCTAAACGAAAATCTAATAACATTTGTATGTGGTGTATATGATTATACTTTACTTGAATAATTGCTTTCGCCTGCAAATTGTTGTCAATTAAATCCTGTCTTATAGAATTCAATGCCAATTTATCTGTGTCCATCTTTTATTTTTGTTTTAACTAAAATTTTTTAAAGAAACTAAATACAAATGCTACTAATTCTGCAAAACCAACTCATCACTGTGCGGTTTGTTTTGACAGCTGATGTTAAGGTAACCATCCAACTTTAGTCAAAATGTTGCCAGATTGCCTACTATTAATAAATTAAAGGTGACCATGTAGAAGCGTGTATAAACGGATAAAGTCTACATGTACAAGAGTCGCAACAAAATTTCTAGTAATAATGCCAAACCATTAAACTTGAAAACCTAAAAATGGTAAATAATAATTTTTCTACCATGGACTACAACTTTTAGTTTTCTTAAAATTTCTCTATACTGGAAAAATAGTGACTCGAATCTTCTTTTTGGATCCTTATATTCATAGTTCAACACATCTGCCACATAAAGGTGCAAAACTGCAAAGCGAATGCTTACAAACGAACAAACTTTTATATGTAACATTACCTGCGAATGTTCGTTCGTTCGCAAGTGTTCGCATTGGTGTAGATGCACCTTAAAGCACTAAGCTATTGTAATATTAATTTACTAGATGGATTTATAAATACTCAGCCTTAGTAATAAAAACGAATTTTTTTTGGAAAATATATAGTTTATGCTTCAATATAGTCCGTTTTTAGCTCGACACACCGAGTCCATTATTCTTTCAACATTTGGATACCTTTTATATAATACGATTTATCAAGCCCTCCAAATTATGCCTCAGTTTGCCAATCAACTTCATCATTTGATGCAAATCTCTATTCCTGAAGCCATCTTTTCAAGTTTCGAAACAGGTTATAGTCACTGGGAGCCAAATCTGAAGAATACAGTCAGTGAAGAACCACGAATGAATTCGTACTGTAATTCGTTCAGTTTTGCCATGGTTTTCATTGATGTGTGATGGAGTAACTATCCTGCAAAGTTTTTTCCTTCAACACAAATGTAGTTTTTTTTGGATTTTCTCATTCAATCGATCAAATAATATGCAATAGTAGTCTGATGTTAATGTTTTTCTTTTTTCCAAATAGTCTATGAAAATTATTCTACTTGAATTCCAATATACGAAAGCCAAAACTTATTAGCCGATTGTTGAACTTGTGGCGTTTGGGAGCACTACCCCTAGACTCTGCCCATTCTCTGGCGTCTTGTTTCCCCTAGGTATGAAGTAATGGATCAATGTAACATTATTAATTAAACGGTCATTATTAAACGTTCTTCATTAAACACATTCATAAAATTATGTTTAAATTCAGCTTTCCAATATTTTATTGTTGTTAATGATGACGCAACATTGCCATCAACGATATTGAATTTTTTCCATTTCATCAAAAATCACCAAGGTGCACTATTCCAATTATTTGCAAAAGGCTAACCAAACGTGTGATAACGTTCATAACGTGTGATAATTCATATATATGCGTAAATTTAAAAATAAATTTGAAATATATTTTCAATTTTGATTATATATTCAACAGTTTATGTAGACCTGGGCTGTCCCACGCACAGCCCACGGGCCACATACATACATGTCTAATATATGTGTGATCCGCAACATAAATTTTTTGTATGTAATATCTTAATAGCTGTAATTTTTTTTCAGAGTAGCAACAAAATACTCACAACTTACGAAAGGAAACTTGTGAAGCAATAACAATGTTTTCAAAATCTTCAGGTTTACTAGCAAAAAATTTTACGTCTTGTTTCAGTGCAACCAAATTCAAAGAGGGAAATATGTTGCAAAATTCTAATCATCCATTAATTTCATTTTCTAATAAATTGAAATTCATAAATAAATAAATTAATTTAAATATATAAGATAAAAATGCTTACCACTGCTCTTTTGTTATTCATTTAAATGTATTAATTTTTAGTGTTTCCTATATTAATATTGCATATTGTACACAGCACAACAAAAAACATTTGTCGAATAAAAGCATTTAAAAACTTTAAAAGTAATGCTAATCTATTTCAACCAGATTTAATGTTGCTTTTTTACAACTCTGAAAGAAAAAATTACAGCTATTATTACACAATATAAGGCAGCGATCATTTAGTAACAGCATGAGTGTTCCCTTTCACTCTTGTATATATGTAAATACACAAATAAAATAAGGCAGCTGCCATATAAATCCATCTTTATAATATTTTTATTGCGTTTTATGCAGTTTGTGTGATAATACAAATATGGCAAGTATATGATTATAAAAAAATTCCCTTTGTATGAGCCAATGTTTGTTGGTTTTGGGAAATTTTTTGCAAATGAGAATAAGATATTTTGGGTATTCTTGCACTGGCAAATGGGATTGAATTCATAACAATCGACGACGCTGAACAGTTGGTACGTGTCTGATTGAATTAGTGCCGGTGTTCATGTTTTGTTGTATTTATTTACTTTTGGTTTTATATTGTTTATTTACGAGGTAGTTAACAATTTTCTGAAGTGCAATATTGTAAGTTTTGTGTTATATTTTGTTTAATTTCGTATTAGAAAAACGCGCAAGTTACAGTTTGCTTACGTGTGAAAGCAAACATTTGTAAAAGGTAAAATAGAAAAACGAAAGCAAAATGCATAATAATTTGCCATTAAAAAATTTAGTTTTATTCAAAGTTGTTTTGCTTCTGTTGTGTTTTTGTGCGTTTGTTTTATATAAAAGTCAATCAAAACTAATTATGTTCGATGGGTGTGTTGTGTTATGTGTTATTTTATTGTTGTTATTTTTAATGTGGTTGTTGTTGCATTTTTAATTGAAACTAATTTTGGTATTTAAAGCACGAATTAATTTTATGCTTTAAGGTCTTCATATATGCACAATTTCTCTATTATAATTGCCACGGAAAAAGTACTGGATTAGTATTAATCTTAAAATACAAAATATTAGTTTTTATTATTATTATTATTGTTAGGGGATGTGGCACTGCGACCGTCGGGTCTATTGTGCCCCCTTCTGGGCTTAGAAAAAATATTATTTATCATCAAGAAAAAATTATACATAAACATAAAAGTGATTCTCAAGCACTATAAAGTATATAGTATATGCCTTTTACAAAGCATATGTTATTACATATATAAATGATATATCTAGTAATGAAAATGATTTATTACAATAAATGTTATTTATTATAATAAATGCCATATTGATTACAATAAAGTATTTTTATTACAAAATATGATAATTAGTATAATAAGACCCTTCCAACCTAACCTAACCTAACCCAACTACATTAAAAAATTAAAATTTAAATAAAATTAAAAAAAATTTGTTATAATAAATAATATTTATTACAATAACATACACTTATTACAATAAATTGCACAAATTACAATAAATGACATTTAAAACAAAAAATAACATTTATTACAATAAAAGACATGTATTACAATAAATAATATTAATTACAATAATATAATAATGATATTTATTAAAATTTTGAGTTGAGATAAACGCAATGCAATTTTTCTTGCAATCGGAATTATAAAGTTATATTAACAATTAGAATATTTCGTAGTTAAATTAATTAGCGATTAAAGTCAAAGTCATATAGACATAAAAATTCCTTACATTAAAGTAATAATAAACATATATACTTTGTGGGTCTCTGGCATGTAATTCTATTTTATCACGTCTGCCACATTTTTCGAACTTACAAGCATTGCAAAAAATATAAAATATATATTTTTTAATATATATATTTAATATATATTTAAAAATAATTTTTATTTATTACTGTTAATAGTTTAACAGTTTATATAGATCCGCTTTCTAACAAAAACAACTACCTTCTATATAGACAAATAAATGATACGATTTCTTAGCCTAGTTAAAGCCTAGCCCCCCAGCCATTATAGAGTAAAAGTGCGTAATAGCACTTACTCAAGAAGAAGAATCAAGAAGAAGAAGTAAAAAACCGGAAAAAATTACTATTAAAAGACTAAACATATTACATATATAAATAGATTATGGGATTAATTTTCCATTTATATATAATAAATTATAATTTTATCATGTGTAATGTTCACATTAATATTAATAATGCATTTTTATAAATTGAATTTTTAAAAAAATTTATTTCCATGGTTTAGTTTTCATATCTGGTATTTCATAATACCAACGGAATAAAAATGTATCAAAGGTGTTTGTTCGATAATTTTATATTAGTTTCCATGAATTTTATAAGTTCATACCTAGTTTTCGCATACCATGGTAAATAAAAATTGACGTAATATAATAATTCCACAAAAAAATATTAGATTCTGTTGTTAATAGAAATGCTTTTTGAGTTCCGTGTAAAGATATTGTCACTAGTAACTAACAACTAACAACAAATATTTATTAATATTTATTTAAATATTTATTTTTTTAATTTTAAAGAAATAATATAGGCTTGATATAATTTTTTTATATTCCCATAAACGCAGTTGCCGGAGCATATCTAACTATATTTTAGTTATGAATTGCAATTATTAATAAATTAACAAATCTCAACATTTAAGATAGTTTAACATAGTTTATTTTCTTTTTATTAAATATTTTTTATTTTTATATAATTGTATATAATAATCTGTAAAATGCTTGTTTAGGGAATTCGTTATCATTCGCTTAGGGTATCTCCCCACATTATGATAAAAGAAATTTATAGAAAAAATGATTCTGTTTAATTTTGAAACCGGGTATTATCATTAATTTTTTAATTTTTATTATCGTATTATTTAATATGAATTTAAGAATTTAATCTATAAATGCTTTTTTTAATAACTATTAATTACTTTGTTTACGCTTGTATGTATTTATTTTTATAAATACAATCAACCTTCACTATCTGCATGGATCCAAAAAATTATTTTGTTATATAGAAAATTCATTAACTTGTGTTAAATTGAAATTATAATATTAGGATATTAAACTAGAACCAAAATGCTGTCTTTTTCTTAGCTGCTTGAAATCAATTTCTAATAGAGAGTGCTGCGTTTTATAGAAGTCATGGGAAGTTATAGGGAAATGCATGATTTTTTTATGACGTTATTATATGTATTATATGTAATAATCACAGATACTATTGAGTAAAAGTGCTTTAGACACTAACTCGCGTTTTATCAAGTAAAAAGAAGAGAGAAGAGATGTACAGTGTGATGTAAATGCACTAGTATAAAATGTGGTGCCAAGAATTATTTTATATATTAATATTATTATATTACTTATCATAATGATATACATACATTAAATTTAATATTGAAGATATATCTAATATTATATAACTGATACTAATCAGTTATCAGTTAGCTACCCAGCATAGATAAAGAAACTTCGTTAATATCGGAAAGTTTTGTTGTAACAGGTTTTTATCATTTTCAAATTGTGGCCTGACGTTAAAGTTCTCTTTCACACACTCTCTCTTACTTTCTTTTTCTCGCTCTCTCTTTTTGTCGCTGTCTCTATCTTTTTCTCGCTGTCTCTTTCTTTTTCTCACTCTCTCTTTATTTTTTTCCTTATTTTTCTCTTTCTTTCTCTATCTCTCTTTCTTTATATCTCTTTCTTTCTCTATTTCTCCGTCTTTCTTTCTTTCTCTCTCTCTCTCTCTTTCTTTCTTTTTCTCTTTCTCTCTCTTTCTTTCTTTCTCTCTCTCCCTTTTTTATTTATTTCTCATTCTTTCTTTCTTTCTCTTTCTTTCTCTCTCTCTCTTTCTTTCTCTCTCTCTCTTTCTTTTTTCTCTCTTTCTCGTTCTTTCTTTTTGTTTCTCTCTCTTTCTTTATTTCTCTCTCGTTTTTTCTTTATTTCTATTTGTTTTTCTCTCTTTCTTTGTATCCCTCACTTTCTATCTCTCTCGTTCTTTCTTGCGCTCTTTTTTTCTCTCTCTTTCTTCCCCTCTCTTTTTATCTGTTTCCTTGTTTCTCTCCCTCTCTTTCTTTTTCTCTTACTCTCTCTTTCTTTTTCTCTTACTCTATCTATCTTTCTTTTCCTCTTTTTGTTTCTCCGTCTCCCTTTCATTTTCTCTTTTTGTTTCTCCGTCTCCCTTTCTTTTTCTCTTACTCTCTTTCTTTTTCTCTTACTCTCTCTATCTTTCTTTTACTCTCTCTCTTTCTTTCTCCCTCTCGCTCTCTCTAACTTTCTTTTACTATCTCTCTTTCTTTCTTCCTCTCGCTCTCTCTTTTTTGACGTTCCACTTCCTGCTTCTTGAGAGTTCAGTCTCATGCGATCAGTCTACTGCGATTTGCCTTACCTACACTTAATCACTCTATCGTTTACTAATTTTTAATATTATTAAGTTTCTTTTTATAAGAAGACTAATATTTACATATTGTATAAACATTAACACTAAGAATCTTTCCCATTTCTTACCATATATTTTTCTTATCTTATTTCATTATTATGTATATATTTTTTTTAAATATATATTAGTATTATTTTTAGAAAACTGATTGTTCGCTTTTATCAAACTACAAATATTTTTTAACACTTATATTATATATTTTAACAACATAATAATAACCATTTATTGCCTCAATAAAAAATTCAAATTTAGATTAAATTATGCGGCCGTCGTATTCGACTTTCTTTTGTTAGTCGCCCGATTCTTTGATAAATTGAAAAAAATTTTTTATAAAAATTTATTTATTTACGAGTATTATTATTGGCTACTCTCTGATTTACGAGCATAGTCGGAAGTATGTGTGGCTACTATTTAATTTTTGTTATCATGAAAAACTTTAAAAAAAATTTATGTTAATGTTGTGATTGAAAAATTTAAAATCTTTTAAAAAATGTTTATTATACTATAAATTAGAGTGCAATCCTTTGTAAATAAATATTGACATCTGTGTGTATAGAACCGATACCTTGACTTATAGCAGTTCTTATGTGTTGCAATTATAATTTGCGCAAAATGTTATAATATTTACTAATTAAAAAAACTTAAAAATTTTTTTAGAGATCTCAACATATATATGTATGAATGTGTATTATATTAATACGTAATTGATATACTGCAGTAATATTATTATTAAAATATGTATGTATTTCCATTACAAGCTGATTCAGAAACATTCGTTGTTCGCATGTTCACCGAATTACAAAACCTAATCAATTTTTATAGTAATTTTAATAATTATTTTATTTGTTTTTTAATCAATGCAATTTTTGTTATAATTGCAAATAGTATAAATTTTTTCATTACTCACGTAAGTAAAACCGAGCTACGTTTACAAACAAAATTGCTTAAGTTTTAAAAAATATTATATCTTCATTATATATATATATAAATATATTTTTTAAATATATAAAAAAAAATATAAATAATTTTGTTAAAAAAAAAATAAAGAGCAAACATTATTTTTTCTTATGAAAAGATTAGTGACTTTGCGAAATAGACTCCCTTATAGCTCAAAACTTTTAATAGTGGTATATCTCCTTTATATATATACTATACCCACTCTTAAATGGTGAGAACTAGATTTAAAATTTTATTTTAAATTTATTTAGAGATTTTTATAAATTGTTTTTTTGTGAAATTTGACTTCGTTTTTTTTTAGTGCTGTAGCTGGCACTTTTTTATATATCCTTATTTTATTTATTTTCTATTTACTGCTTTTTAAATAAGCTATTCCTTTCTATTGTCAGTTAGTATCCAGTTACTCGTTTTAATATATATTTTAGACTAAGTTAAGCATTGATCATATGCGTAAATGAATTATGAGAACTTACTTTTTAATTGATACTAGATAAATTAACATGATCTTATTAGGAGTGTTTTCTTCAGTTAAACTATATTGAAACATAGAAAAATACTACAAAATAGTATGTCTCTTTTGTAATGAGAAATAATTCCATCCATAAGTCATGCGTTTCGATAATTCTATATAAAAGAATCTGGTTTTAAACTCCGTTTAATATATTTCTTATAATTTCTGAATTTGTTTTTGCTTCTCCATTACTATAATACCCATATTTGGATAATGCCATCTATTTATACTCAGAACTTAGCATATGTTCTACATACTTTTTGGTCATAGCTGCTCTTCGAGTACAGCATGCAGCCGGTAGTTTCATCGGTATATTAAAACAATTTGTATATTAATACTATTCATAATCGGTTCTATAAATACTTATATATAGATTTTAATATATAAAATTTCAAATAACAATAAAAAATAATTTTTTATTTTTTTTGTTTTACAGGTTATGATTTTACGGCAATTATACTAAACTGTTTTAATTTTATATATATTATATTAGATATATATTTGTATATATCAATAAAAACGTCGATTTTTGATTTGGAAAATTTTAAATTATTTTAATTCACTTTATTAGCAACGAACTTATACATAATGAAATATTTTGGAGGAATAGAAGGGTAAGTCTTCAGCTATAATATATAAAATATATATAAAATTTTATATTTTATTTTTTATATTTTATAAAAAGATATAAAATATTTATTATATTATACAAACTTAAATTACATTATATATAATATTATATTATAAATATATATATATACTAGCTGGCCCGGCGAACGTTGTTTCCCCTTGCAATTAATTTTCCTGGCGTTCGTTGCGTTGCTCTTGACTTTCATTAGCACGTGTAATTGTATCCTGGTTTCTTACATCTTCATTGTTTTCTGCCGATCTATTTAACCGACGGTTCTGGAGTAATTGTGAATTCCGAGTCCGTCGACCAATATTTCCTCCTCGTCCACGAAGACGTGGCATTGTTTTTTGTACGATATTTATATCTTTATATATATAATTCTTCTTTTTTGTGTGTTGAATTTTTGAATTCGCTGGATTTACCAGGAATACCACCACATAACTTAAGATTAAAAATTGGCTCACCTATAATTATGCTGCGGAATTTAAATGCACTTAAGCTATGCAACGTCAGTTTTACAATTCATTTTAAAGATTTTAAAGTTTTTAAACAAATCAAAGTAAGCATGAATAAATTTTAAATTTTTAATATAAATGTATATGGATAGCAAAAAATAAAAAATTGATTAAAAAGACATTATCCAGTGGGCCAAATTGTGAATCTAAACCTTCCTTGAATCCACTTGAACACACACAAAAAATTTCATCAAAATCGGTTCAGCCGTTTAGGCGGAGTTCACTGTCAACACACGTACAGAAGAATTATATATATAAGATATATATATATATATATAATTTGAGGTATGATTTACAGACTATTAAAAGAACATCAGTAGTGCGGTTCTTGACCAATCTTTTTCAAACTGCTATTCAGAGATCGGTAATGCCCAGTCAATAATTGTTTGTATTCTTATGCTTATGTTTTGAAGATATTTATTTATATATATTAAATTATTATTGATATATAATATCATAAAACAAATAAATAACCAAAACCGGTTTATGGCAATGAAGGAACTAAAATTGCAAAAAAGTAAACAATCTAAATTGCACTTGAGGTTTAAGTACGGCACTGAAGATTTTGAGTGTAGGGATGTTATGATACTTATTAAGAATTATGCACCGAGAATGAATAAAATAAAATAAACATAAATGAGATACTACAAATTGAACCACATAGAAAAGCTTTGACTAAAGATAAAGAATATTGGCGTGTCGCCAATATCTTATTTGGGGTATATGAAATCTATTACGAGTTCAGTCTTCTACTGCTTAGGCACTAAAGAAGTCTTTATTATTTCTATTTTATTCTAGCTTTTTTAAGTGATATCACTTTAAAATGTATAGTGGTAACTTTATTAACTTGAAGTATATGAGAGAAGTTTAAACTATCTGAATGGTTAATATCTTTATAGTGTTATATATATTGTACATAACTCGGCAAATATTCTGGAATACGTGTCATTTTTCTTTAAAAATCCATGCAAATCCATATAAAAATATGCTAAAGGGGTTCGATAACTAGTATGAGAAGTCTTATTTTAAATCTTTTCTTTCTCTAGTCCACAACTACGAGTAGTTGTAGCTACTAGAATCTCCAAAAAAGTTGGCGCCCTCTAAGCTTAGTTAATAGCTTTTGGGCACCAGATTTAGCAGTATAGGAATTTTTAACACTGCATTATCTAAAATTTTTGAAAGTGTGGTTTTTTTCTGAAGGTGCTATTTTTCATTTATTACAGTAAGTGTCAAATTAAAACTGTTGATACTTAGTATCTACAGGAAATCGCATTTTATTAAGAATTATGTGAAGCTGAATATCGTTCAGTTTTAATTGCAGTAAACGTTCTTTTTGATATTTTTCAAAAAAATTGTCGCTAGGCTCAATTTAAATAAATGAATAAAGAAAGCCAGCCTTATAATAATAAGCAATTTAAATTCAGTTGTTAAATTCAAATAAATTTAACACCAAAAGCAGTGCTCCGTACTAAAAATTCAATGCGAAAAATCATTTCATTCTCTTAGTAAATCAAGTGCTGTACTATTTCCTTATTTGTAAGTGAAATAGTTTCGAGATCTGAATAGAATAGAGCTGATCTGAATGCGGGTATGTAGAATATGTACTTAAATTCAAGAGCTGCACTTGAATTGCTTTACATAAATTTGTCTCAATTGCTTTTGATATCAGTAAGAGGCACAAATGATCGCTTTTATTAAGCCGAATATGCATGTTATCTTATATGAAGTATACGGAATTTCACGTTAGGAATATAAACGCGTACGTAATAACGTAACGCGCTGATAAGAATTACTACAGTCGCAATATTATTATCAACCTTAATAGGAGTGTATTTGATATGTTATTGTTGAATTTATTAAAACGTATTTGCACTAAAATAACCAATATTCTAATATTAATTGCCTCATGTTAACATCTGTCCAAATTTTCAATCAGTTTAGCCCCTCCAGATTAGAGGGTTAGTACTTGGGTGGTTATTGAAATCTGTTATTCATGTTGGTATTATAAATTAGGCGCTAATCTGAATGTTTAACCCTAAATGTAAGTGCTTACATGGAAATATTAATAAATTAGGTTTATTTTTACGTAAAGCAAAGTATCTGCAATTTTTATAGCGAAATTATTATTTGCTTTGTCATTAGTTTTATCAGAAAATGTTTTCTAACAAAATGCGCTTTATATTATTCATATTGTGAAATAATATTTGCTTTTGTATTAAGATCGTCAGAATAGTTAAGTTTAGGGGAAAATTTAGAAAGGTAGGAGAAATTCTTTTATCTGAAATAACATATGGCGTTTCAAAATAATTCTTATTTTATATTTCCTGAATTACCTACCAAGTAGCATTTTTAGCCCTTAAGAAAACAGTCGATTCATTGCAAAAGAATATGCTGTTAGTATATATACTCTCACACCTATATAGCTAGCAAAGATTAAATTCAATAAATTGAAAAGCAGACAATAATGTTTTTTAAAAATCTCTAAATGAGATAAAAGACTTTTGAGATAATAAGATAACTACAATTATGATTTGAGTACCGAACTTGAGCAAATCCATCGTAAAACAATTTGTTACTTTTGGGTTATTTAAATGAGAAAAAACAGCAAGAGAGGAAAAATAAAAAAATAACGTAATAAAAAAAAAGTAATAATTGAAAATAATTAAAAAACTAAATAATAAAAAATGTGCCAATGTAAAATGTAAAAGTTACAATACCCCAAAACTTTACGCAGAATGTTATTATCAATTTTGCGGCGATACTCCTACCAAGGCAGTGATATATACGTAAACTGTGTCGCAAAAGAGTTAGGAGGGAAAAGAACAACTACTCAAATTCTCCGGAAACATATATACACAAAAACTCCAAATCTGTTTCTAAAGGTTATAAAAGAACGGCGGAAATAAGAAACGGCATTTTTACACACGAAGTCCTTTTGACTAAAATGAAACCTAGAAAATCATAATAGCTTTATTTCATCTAAAGAGATGAAATATTAATCCTAACAAGCTTCATTATCTAACAATATATTATAGGTCTTCTTCTATGGTAGATGAAACACGAGTTAGTGTCTAAAGCACTTTTACTCAATAGTAGCTGTGATGACTTGTGTGATCCACTGTAACAAGAACTCTGTTGAATTCTTATAATGAATAATTTAGACGAATTTACAGCAGTATAGTTTGAAACTTAACATATTCTTCTGACATTTTTGATTTAAACACCAAAAAAAAAAATACATTTGTGTTAGGTTACTATCAAAGGCTTTTCGTACGCTGTAGTATAAATGTAGCTTTAATTAGGTTATTACAATTTGTGACATCAACAAAATAGTTCATCAAGGACTGATAATGTGCTATAACAACGGACCAAGTATGTCAGTTCCCCAAAAAAGGAAGCTTATCTACTTATATCATGTTTAGATTTAGATAAAAATTCTATCAGCCTGTATCAGTTCAGATTCTAGTAAAAATTATATATAAAATAAAAGTTATTAAAGCCAAAAAAGTCTTAACAGTTCTTCAAATATGTCAGTTGCAATAGTCCTTTTGTTCTATAAGTAAACGATTTGTTTTTAGTATAACAAATGGCAAACTTAGTTATAAAAAATCTACAATCAAAACTATGAATCTACTTGTAAACTTTTTAGAGTTTAAATAATTGCAAATCAAAAAAAAAACACATGAACAAAAACACTAAAATAATTTCTGTACGCGTCACAGCACACATATGCTTTATCAAAGCACTAAAATAAGACAGGATGATATTTTATATAAATAAACTTTATTATAAAAAATAAATGCAAATATAAAATAATGTAAAAAATATAATTATTTAATATCGCATAATAAAGCTACTCCACGTATAATCCAATGATCTGGAGGTTTTAGAGAATTTAGCCAAAGTGGAGCAATATAATTTAAATCAGTTCTATTCATTTTTTTATAAACCGGACACTAAACAAAAATGTGTTAATATATTTTATAAATTGATATAAAAAAATATATAATTATATATACCGTATACAATTTTGAATTTTTAGGAGCTGTAGAATTGATAGCTAAAATATGTACGACAGGCATCAATACAAAAATAACTTTATTAGTTGCTTCAACTAAACGTGAAGTTTTTCGATCCCAACCAGCACCATCCACATAAAGTCCATGCACAAAAACTCCCTCTTTAGGTGGTTTTAGACATTCTTCTGGGTTTACTTTTAGAACTTCATTATGCATAGTTACTTGATCTAGAGGCCAACCTTGATGAGCGCGTGCTACTTCTTGTTTCATGGCAGTTAGAAAACCTTGTGGATTAAAAAAACCAGACATCCAAAAAACAATAGGTCGATCCTAATTAACAAAAGTAGAAGTTTTAAAATGTTTATTTAATATTTTAAATATTATATACATTAAAGGCCCAGCTATAGAACTGCTGGTTACGTTCCAATAATTCAGTAAACCAAAAGCCCAAACTAGATGAGAGCCAACTACCACGTTTCCACATAGCTGGCACACGTGCATTAAAAATATTATCGAGTGCATCACGCAACTGATCGCTCATGATAATGGTACCTTGAATAGCTAGGATCAAATCCTTAAGTGTAGTACGTACGAGTATAATTATCTGAAAATTAATAAAAAAATGTATAGTTTATTAGGAATTATTATCTTCAAAATATATACTGATGTTTTTACCTTTTGCATACGATCAATTTCTTGTCTTAAAAATATGTTCATTGAGCTCGTTGCACCCATCATTTTGAGTCTTTCTTTCACTTCAAAAAGGTCATAAGGCATAGGCATTTTGCTTTGCATTTCTTTAACAGATCGTGCGACTTTATCCTCACGCGTCTCACCAGTTCCAGCAGAAGACTCTTTAAAATATTAAAGTTATTATCTTAACTGTAAAATTGAAAAAGAAAATTACCTTTTGGCTGTATAGACAATACAGTATCTAAAATGCTTCTAGTGGTGTTCGTTTGATATGTGATATCAGCATTTGAGTGGAAACCATATACTTGTGGTGGATCTATTGTCGGCATTGCTTCAATCGCCATTAAATAGGTTTCAATTTCCTTGAAACTAAATATCTTATAGCCTTTAAAGAATTCAAAAGTTTCTAAAAACATTCTATCATGAAACCACCAACGCCCAAAAGTATTTAGTAGCCGCTTGTCGTAATCATCAGTTACACGTCCGCCATACTGCACTTCACCAAGCATATAACGTACCGTACTCCAGCTTATGCCTTTACCTGGTTCCAAGTCATCCAAATGATTTTGTACAAATAAGCAGCTGGCATACCAGTCAGCAAAATTAAATTCATATGGAATGTTCCAGCCTAATGGGCCAAACTTTCTGCGCTCCTGTACTACAGAATGCAAAAAGGATATCGCAAAGACTAATGGATGATAATAGGGAGATTGCGAATAATCTAAAAAGTCCTGTGACATGTTACTGTAGGTACGTTTAAGACCAGCACGCATTCCAGCGGGTGGCTCATTAGTGAATTTAATTGACAATTGCAACAAACTTATGGAAAATTTAATGTGTGGCTCTGTGGTTATCCACACGCGGAAGTTCTCGTTGCAGCTTTTGGGTCCAGCTCTTTCAAGCTCTAATAGCAATAATGTTAACTCGTTCATATACTCTAATCCCAAGTGACAATTTTGCAATAAAACCCAACCACCGGCTTCTATGCAGTTAGCTACCAATTTTCTGGCATGTACTTCTTGCCCTTGACCCATTGAAATTGGATAACATTTTAATTCATTTTTCTTTGCCAGAGCTTCGATATTCGAAGATGGGTCAGAACCCATAGACAAGAAGCATACAAGAGGAGACAATGGCTTACTTTCTGACAATAATTCATCAAAATTAAGCACAACTGGCTCTGCAAATCGTTCTCCGAGCGAATTTGCTATATACTTTCGACTTTGCGAAATGGTTCGATCTGTGCACCACGATCGTATAAGTAACAATTTTCTAAATGGATCTAAAGAATTATAACCGTCTGGAATTATTTCACTTTCAGGACTTTCTTTTTTATACCAAATGAACCAAGGTCTTTCGTTATTGCTTACCTTAGTTACAATATGTGCAAATATATTCAATTTAGTTAGCTGTACTAAATTAAGCCAAGTCTCGTCGGTTATCCAACGATGAGGCACCGGTGGACAATCATTGAGATTCAAAGCAGCTCCACCTTTAATGAATATCTGAAACTCATCGTACGATACTAAATCCATTTGGCGATCAATATTCAAGGCCATTAGTAAAACAAAAAGGTATTTATGCTGCTCATAGAGACCACGAGATTTGTAGCGATATATCTCAAAGGTTAAATAAGAAATAATTCGTTTGATACGCTTTTGGGTTATATGTGTTTTTGCTGAGTTATGCATAGAGGCATCGAAACGTTCCAAGAATTGTACCAATGATGTTTGGTACATGCAGTTTACCATCGCCATTGTGCATACTAAGAAATATAGTACACTGCCTCTAGTGGCAACTGGACGATATTCTTCACGTGCTACATTAATTTTTGCCTCTGTAATCTTTGCTATTTCAATTTTTTCCTTAACTTCAATGGATGTGTTTTTACTAGTATTTAACACTTCAATAACGGTGACATCATCAAGTAGACTTCCTTGTGTAGTTGAGAGCTTATGCAAAAGATTTGCTTCCAATTCTTTCATTTTTTTAGTATTACTAGTAACAGTTTCAACTAAACTTGTACGCTCCTCTTCTAATTCCTTTCGTTCTGTTAGAATTACACGACCTAGTAACTGATCTTCTAAACCTTTCATAGTTACAGTGAAATCAATGATAGAAGTACGCGCAAACACCTCTGGCGTGTAGGCGGGATTTGGTAATTTAGTAGTTATATAACATCTAAACTGGTCATTGAAATCGACCTCCTTGTCACCGACCTTTACTTTATATTTTGTACCAACTTTAAGTAAATTGCGATCCAAAATATTATCTAAACATGGATCTAACTCTTCGCCAACATCTTCAATTATTACTGGCATACCTAAACTTATTGCATCTTCAATATGGTTACGGAAATATTTGTGATTTAATGATGTGACAGTCAACTGGTTTTCTTTCTCTTTGTTTTTGATCCAAGCCTTACCTTGAGACTGTGGATCAATTAACAGAGGAAAGCGTACAGCTTTAGTAGCAATGATACCATTCTGAATTGATAGTTCATCTGTGGGTAGACCTTGCAAATTCCATTCTCCAATTTGCGACCGATCAGTCAAACTTTCAATTATGTTAATATTTGACGAAATCGGTATAGATCGCCGCTGGATTTCTGACAGCCATGAAGATTGTAAATCGACACGATATGATTGATTAAAGGGTCCTGAATATGATAAAAATGCGGTGAGATACAGTGAATCGCCAACCAGACGTTCGGTTTCGCTCTTAAATTGTGCAATTTGCTCAGTCCAACGAGTCTTTTCTCCAGCCAAACCTGTAATCAATGCAGTCGCTTTATCCATTTTATCTTGGCACTTTCTAGCATCCTCCAATACGGTATTTTTTTTGTCCATTGCTTCATTGAATTCTCTTGTTACTGCTTCCATTTCTTTTTCCTTTATCTCGTACAAATCTTCAGCTTCTTTCAAACTTTCAGTTGCTTTCTTATATTTCGCAGCTTGAACTGCTAAGTTAGCTTTTAGCGGTAAAACTTCTCTATTAACGTCAAAATACTTTGCCATGGCAATAGTCCAAGACAGCAGTCCGGCAACATTACCGCAAGCAGCTTTTGCAGCCTCAAATGTATATAAGCTAAAAGAAAATAGTTTAATATAAACGGAAAATAATCAATTCTATATCTGGTATACTTGAAATTAAAATATGGCTGTAGTAAATCAACCATTTCTGCATCAATTATATCTGTGGGATATTCTACAATTTTCTTTAAAAAGTTTATATCAGACATCACTTTCAAAGACTCCTCCCAGGAGCTTTGCAAAAAGTTTCTTTCGAGATCTGGTTTTGTAGGCTTCACACGTTTGCGGAAAAGAATCAATACACAATCCATGATAAGAGTAATCAAAAATGGAGGTTTGCCCAATTTACGCACAGTTGCAATATCGGCAGCTTTAATTGTCTAAAATAAGAAGTTTTGGGTTACGGAAGAAAAGGAAATTAGCTGATTTTTTGATTATTTTAGTTTAGAAAAAACATTACCTTAAGCGCGGCCTCAGCTTCTTCTAATGCTGGCTTTGCTTTCTCTAATTTCTGCTCTGCAACTGCTTTATCAGCAGAAATAAGTTTTACCAACTCTGCTGCTTGCGCCTTCTTTTCGGCAACCTGCACTTTTACAACTTCTGTTGCAGCTGCTGCTTCAGTTACGACTTGTAGAATTTCCTCAGCCTCAGCAGAAGCTATAGCAATATTTTTATTCTTCTCAATCAATTCTTTTTTCAATATTGAAACTGAGGCACCAGCTTCATCCAATTTATCTAAGCCGGAACTCATACGATCAGACATCACAATAATGTTCACTTGCTTGTCTTTATATAACTTTTTGTAGCTGCCTAAGAATGAAATCAAAGACTTCGGTGTAACAAATGTAGTACGTCTGAAACGATCGAAATACGATGTGCATGCTTCTGATACTGTGTTGTGTACCCAGCTCATTATATCGATAACACTTTCCTTAACCTCATCAGAACAGACAATTTCATAATCTTTGAGATAATGCCGTGATACGGCAACTCGTGCATCTTCTGGCCATTTTTGGAACCAATCTATAACGCAGCCTGATATAAGACCAGGGAACTTTAATGAGCGAGTACGAAACTTTTCACCAATCTAAAAAATAATATAATGAAATGTTAATATTAAAATGTTTTATAGTAACCAGAATATAAGGATTAAACCAAAAAATAAACCAACCGGTGAAAAGCATAAGGCTATATGTAAATTGGAACGTGCGCGGGAAAGGAAAAAGTCATACAAGTTGTCTTGTGTGGGTATACGTTTCGGTGAAACTTTTTTCATTATAGGTGTAATCTCAGCATATATTTCATCTATGTAAATATTAAAAAATAAAATAAAAATCATAAGCTATTAAATTATAATATTATTTACCAATTTCATCTTTAGCAAATAAATTTGCAATTTCTCCCGAACTTAATATGTTATTGATAAATTCCAAAAAGCCCTCATCCTTGATTTCATTATCAGTGAAAATGAAAGTTATACCCCTGCCTTCTAGCCCGGAAGTGCGATATAAATATTTTAGATCATCCACTAAGTTACCTGCATTGTAAGCACGGGTTAGTGTTATCTGGAAGAATTTGTAGTTAGCTATAAACGAAGCTAAACGAGTCAAACTTTGCTTTCCAGAACCACCTACTCCCACCAGTAATGCATTACCTCTAACATTTCATAAATTAGAGAAATATATAATATATATATTGATTATATTAAATTTTGATAAAAAATATTACCTGGGCATACTTATTATTCTGGAAACAATAATCAAATGTATTAAAGCATCTTGGAAAAACACTAAGTCCATATGAAAACCACGCACATATTCATTAAATTGTCCCATATAAAATGCGACTTTTTGTTTCACAAAATCGAAACTATATTTTATTTAAAAGAAAATGTGAAATATTCTTAATGAACAAAAAATTTTCGTCTCTAACCTTGGAATTTCTTCATATATTTTTGGTGCATCCATTGAAATTTCTTCATCATCTTCAACACCCTCTGGTGGATCACGTAGAAAATCAACAAAATACGTTTGTTCTTCTGGATATAATTCAAAGTGTGTACCCAAAAACTTTTGAGCATCCTTTTCCATACGCTCCAAAAACCATTTCGTATCCTTATAATCAGTAAATCGATCAGCTATGACACGTGTACATTCATGGCACCACAATTTTATGAGATCACTAACATTTTGACATTCCTCGGTCTTCACTTTCAGAATTCCTTCCCAAATACGTGATAAATCTCGTAAATTAAAAACGTAATGGAAATTGGCCGGTGTGGGTAACATTTTGATTTTAACATTTTGCCAGAATGAACGTGTTAAGGGTATCAAAAGAGGTACAACTGATACAATCTCCATATTGAAACGTGTTGAACAGAAGTAACCTTGACCAATTTTATTAAATATTTGATCCATGGAATTATTACTAGGTAAAGTGCAATTAAAAATAGCTAAATGACGTTTTAAGCGATTTGGTATATCGTTACGACCACCACCAGGGTGGATCATAGCAGCCAACATTTGTATATCCATAATTGTGTAAAAATCACCTATTTTAAAATCATATATGTATAATATTACAATATATACTTGTATGTGTATATGTATATATTTGTATATACAGAAGTATTAATTCATATATAGTTCATTTTAAAAGGTCTTTTAAAATATACCTATATACAATTATATAGCAAAAAACCTCCAAAATTTAAATTTTTTATAAAAGCAATTAATTAAAAAATTAAAATTTTTAAATCAAGCGTTAACTTTCTTACTTGTCCAACGTCCAATAAGGAAACAATTTCGAAATTATATATACCATACTTAAATGGAAGAAGTTGATCCGAAAATATATTAGTTTATTTTTCGGAAAAAAATTTATTTTATTTTATTTACTGTTTATTTAATTCTTATTGTTATTAACAGCTAATATTGTCTTCGAAAAGTATTATATTTTTATATTATAAATTTTCGAATTAAAATCAATCTATTCAAAGTTTAAATAAACTATATAGATATTTATATATATGTGTACATATGATAATACCTGGTTTTTCGAGGGAATAAAAACCATGTTGTTCAATCATCTGCCGTACTATTTCATTTGTAATTTGATCTCCCCATTCGTTAATTACAGGCATGTTGATATCGTCTACGAATACCGTCATTGCACGCTGACCAGGAGGACCATAAGTGGTTCCAACACGTTTCTCAACATAAGATTCAATAATACGCTAATTAAAAATTGAATTAATAAAAAACATTCTAATGATAATTATTTAGTATCTACCTGAAACATATTCGGTGTTGTAGCAGAGGAAAAATTAAAGGATTTAAATAAGTGCTCCTCAGGATCATATAAGGACATGTAGCTTTTAATCATCACAGTTTTTGCAGTTCCTTGTTCACCAATTAATAGTACTTGCTTCTTTTGCTTAGCTATGTTATGCAATAAAAATGCAGTGCGCACATTGTCGACATTGGGTACCAAAATTGATGAAAATTCTGGCACACTATCATCAGGATACTGAAAGTCTTCCACTCGATTATTCCAATGTTGCCAAATTCCTGATTCATCAACATAAAATTCAAATATTGTTTCATTGGGTTGTCTTTTGGGCCATTCTGCAAAAAAAAGTGTTCACTTATTGTGATTTCCATCCTATATATTATCTTATCTTATTTATTACTTAGTTTGGAAGGATGTTTAACCACGAATTCCTCTAACTTTTCTCTTTCACTGATTTCCAGTACGGATCCTAAGCTCCACATCATTGCAAAGAGAAACAATCGTTCTAAAAATAAGTCAGTTCTGGTTGAATACTCATGCAATAAACCATCCAATATTTCTAGCATTTGTTTTATGTAAATAGCTTCAAGAACTTTCATTTTTGCTACCAATTTAGTTTGTAGAAACAAGTGCGCATCATCATAAATTGCATTAAAACAGCGCCGGAAAACATCTTGTTCCTTATCAGACTGTTTTTTGACCCAAGCTACAAATAAAAATAAGTATGTTTATTCTTAACGTTAACTAAATTTTATGTGTACCTATATCATACTTACCCTCCATGTATACAACCCATTTTAATACTGATGAACTCAAAAATACCATACCGACTCTACTAACAGTAGCTGGTGAAGCATTGTCGACATTATCTGGCTCAAAAACTAATTTAGAATTATCTGCCATTTTAATACGATCGCCGTTAGCTAATGTCAGTGTCTTGTTGTCATCAAGTACAGAGTTCAAGTTTTCAATCCAAACCGCATCGACTGGTCCATCCAAAACAATCCAACAATGTTGAGTCTTTGGAATTTTCAATGTACGACGCCATAATGTAGAAAATATACCATCAGTCCAATCATTTGTAGCAACATCTAAACGTCCAAACATTTGAGGTGCAGTAATAGCCTTAAAATACAAACTTTTCATAATATTTCGTAATATAATTATAAAAAAAATTAAATAATTAAAATAGACATAATAGACATAATAGAGCTAATGCCTAGTTAAGCGTAACTTTTCATGTGTCTACAGCTCAGTTTTTTGCAATTTGGATTTTTTTTATTCGAATATTAAGACATCCTTAATATTAATATAAATATAGCTTTTGAAATATATATAGAAGTATATACATATATAGAACGTTGTTTACCTTTGGATTCATTCGCATTTCCCTATGTGGCGTACCCATAATCGTGAAGCATTTTAGCATAGCATGTGTACAACTCGTTTTACCTGATCCTGTTGGTCCCATTAACATAAGTCCATGCCGTACCAATGAAGTTTCATATAATTGTACAACCTTTAGGTTCCATTCAGGATTATTGACGTAGCCAAAATCATCGACTACTTCAACAAGTGCACGTTGTAGATCCTTATACGATGCTGTAGTAAGCTTAATTCCTGGAAACATGTCTTCTATCAGTGACAAGAATAGTCCTTCATCTTCATCAATCAGCTTAGAGACATTCATATCTCGCAATACTCTCATCACTATGGTTTCTTCGGTATCACCCGGATTTGAACGCTTCTGTGCGCCTAAAGTACGCAGCACTGATAGAATATTTCTCAAACCAAAATCGTAATGCACTTGTTTTGAAAGTTGCTCTTCGCAAAGTTTATATAATGTAAAGAATTTACGTGACAAAACCAAATTTTCTTTGAATCCGCAACTGGCTAGCTTTACGCGTATAATAATAGCGCGATCAGGTACCATCATAGCTACTGTACGAAACATAATCTTCAAATTTTCAGGCAATTCCTGACGACCAGCATAACCAGGATTCATGGTAATGAACAGACCAAATTCTGAATTCAATGAAACAATATCACCATCACTAAAGATAAATGAAGTACGTTTTTCCTTTCTTGCAGTTAAAACAATACTAAAAAAAAACGATATACGCTTAATTTATTTGAATAACTTCCTTTAAATCGTAGACTTACTAAATTTGTTGTGCTGCGACAGATAATACTGGCAATTCAATACGATTGAACTCATCAAAACAGCCCCAAGAACCAGATTGTGCCAATCCTTTATATATACGACCCAAACCGCGGAAATCCATTTGATCAGAACAATTAAACACAACAACTAGTTTACCTAAAGCGCGCCCCATATCCTTAGTGGTCTCAGTTTTACCAGTACCGGCTGGACCCGCAGGAGCTCCTCCCATTGACATACCTATAGCTTGTGCGAGCGTAATATAGCAACGATCTGTTAATGGTGTTATAGCCAAACGTTCTGTGACACCAAGGTATTCATTTTGGTAAATGAAGTTAACATCCGTTATTCCAACGATTATGTCATCATTATCCTCGTGATAATAGAAACGAGCTTGTTTTTGCCATTCGAAATCACCAGTATTTTTAATACGCATAGTACATAAGTCATCAAAGATATCTCTAAATGAAAAATATTTTAATGTTCATTTTTTCTTGCCGAGAGTGACGCGTCTTTATGACGAAAAGAAACTATTTAAAACTTAGACGGATTCGAATAGCAAAGAATAGACAAGGACAAAAATTTATTTAATTTATTGAAATTTAGCTGATCATACAACGCTGTTTCGAGTATTGCCAAGTACTCATCATCAGTGGTCTTAGGTAATAATCGAATTTCTTAATTAGTTTATAGTCCGTATATAATTTGTTTGGACTGAAAGTGCCAGGTTCTTACAACTCGTGCCTGTCAAATTGAAAGCAATGATTAAACGTGTTTTTCCACAAGTAGCCAAGGCTGCACAAACTTTCAATGCTCAAGTTCCAGGTTTTTTGTCACTTTTTTATTTAATTAATGACACTAGCCAAAGTATTTGCTGTGATTTAAATTAAAACGAACTTATAAACTACAGCTTTATTTGAAAATAGAAGTTCAACGAAGTGAAAGATAATGTTTAAAGCTGCTTATTCTTTGTTTTACAGCTATTCTTTTCAAAACTAGGTTATACCGGCAACCCATAGTGGATCCACTTAGGCCTATTGGCCCATTGTGCTACCGTATATATAGGGTGAAAACTCAGGGTTTAATACCACCTAGAACCTGTTGCGAAGCATAAAATGCTATTTAAATTCAGGTCCTGTAAGTGGTCCAGGTCCTCAAGGAAGGGGGCTCCTAAAGTATTACGTCGCCGCCGTACATGAGCTGGGCAAAAACACAAACGATGAGAGTCGCTCTCATCGTCTTCCCCATAGCTACGATAGATTTGATTGAAAGGAAAACCTAATCTTCTAGCATGGTTCCCTAGTTTACAGTGTCCTGTAGTCAAACCTACCAAAAGACTAATGTCTCTGCTAATAATTCATTTTTTTCTATAGTTGTAACTATAGAAACACAAAATTGTGTGGATAGTTTATTTATAATTATACCTTTGATGTACGTGTATTGTAACCATAGTTTCAAATCGAATACGATCCAATGAAGATAAATCCTTGACAGTGAGATCAATGAAATGATTCAATAAAGCTAAAAATTTATTGTTTGTGCGTTTCATTATAGTTTTATCAGTTCGACACTTTCTTAATGCAAACTCTGATTCACGAGTCCATAAAAGTTGCACTCCTAGTAATCCAGCTTGTCCGCAGAATGAAGGAAATTCTTCTACAAAATTAAAGTCCGGATCATTTAAATTGGCTGCCATACCAGCAAGTGTTGTTCTCATTGTGTCTTGCATCTCTTTAAGTAATCTACCCAGCCAGATTTCAACACTTCCTGTACACTGAACCGCGTTTTCTAGAGGCACTTTCTCATGATTCATTGAATTAAGCGCAATTATAACATCATTAGTTTTCTCTTGGAAATCAACCTAAATCAATATATAACGTTTTGCTATCGTGGATTTTTTAGTGAAAATAGAATAATACTCACATAAGCTATTGCATCAAATATACTAAGTAAATGCGGTTGTATACTTGTAGGGTCTGAAGCTTGTCCTAAAATCTCAAGTAATACAGGATCAGAAACAAAGAAGAATCTGGGGAAAAGCAAACGTTTCGATTCCAAATAACCTGAAATTTTAATGTTAAATAAATTACAAAATAATGATTTCGGAAAATAGTAAGCACTTCTTACCAGTTAAAGATTTCTGACAAGTTTCCAACTGATCTAAAAGCCATGTTAACATTTGCGCCAAACTTTCATCGCCTGTACAACATTCGACTGCATTTGGTATTTCTCGTACACGATACATTATTTTGACATAGTTCTTATCAATATTCGTAAAACGTTTAGCTTCCTGTGGCAATTGTTTTGAAATATCGCCACCCACAAAAACTGCTTCCAGGTACATCCACAAATTCTGTACAATTAACCACTTTTCTAAAATTTCACCTGTGTTCACTAATTTCTTTAACCATGTATGAATTTCTTTTTTGAAAGGTGCATTATACCGATTCGAAGCTAAGGAATTAATAATCATCAAGCTATCCTCAAGTGCTGCTATAATTTCCAAAGTTTCTTGACCTTTAAGCACCAATTCACCACGAGTCTTAAACATGCCCAATTGCAAGTTAACAGTAGACCAATCGCTCACAATCTGTTTAAGTTTAGCTTCAATATCTAATTCTTTGGACGCGCCAACGCAAATATCTTCGACATCATCTTTGTGTTTCAGGATAGGCGCTTCCAAAAGTTTACCCAATGTAAACTTCGAGCTAGTAGGATCAAAGTCAGTTTTAAGTAAAGCATTTAATCGCGTCCAGTGACGTTCTTTCATAGCTTTATTAGTCATTAACTCAAGCAGCGGGCAAGTTTCATTGAAATCATCAATTTTTGTTTTTAAATCTATATAAGCCGGCCAAGTCTGCATACCCTTTGGCAGCTTACGGCATCTATTTCATTATATATATATATAAAAAATAAATTAATTATTATATTATAAAATATATACCTGACTTGAAAATCTGCTAATTCCGCACTTATTTTTTCAATATCCACTTCAGACCAAGGCAATTCATAGTAATCAGAAATCGTCTTTAGAACTTGAATATACAACGAGTACAATCGATTCAAATAGTTGAATTCACGTTTACGCTGATGCAATAGTGGGTATTCAGTTATAGGTAGTCCAAATAGTTTTTCACCGCTGCTATACATTTCGTATTTACGCCAGAGTTCATCAAAACGATTTTGAAAAATGAATACACGATCACTAGCTTCCTTAGCTGAAATACCTTCAACCATAGGACCATTAAGTTCAAAATCAATATTAAATTGGTCGAACTCTTGGACGAAAATTGCGATGCCTTCGTTAAGTTCTTTTAAGAGTGGTCCTTCCATTTCCGAAATACGGTCTGATACTTTTTTAGCCTACAAATGTCAAAAAAAAAAATTAAAGTAATTAATACGTTGTTCAAGCAAAAAACCCGTATTCTAATGAAATTTTAATTATTCATAAAAATGATTTTACTTACATTTTCCAACATTTTATTAAATGATAGTTGTAGACCTTCAACTTTATCATAATCTTCCTGTGGTATAAAAATATTATATTGAGAGAACAGTGCATATGTATCAACTATAAGATTTAAGGCTATATCCATACTAAAATGAAAAAAAAAAAATAATTATATAGTAATAAATGAAATGAATTCTTATATATCTTACGATATATATTTATCTCGGATTTTTTCCAAACAGTTCATGGCCAAACGTACGTCATCTAAGTCATTTATAGGTTTGCTTAATATACTCTCCATTTCCGAAATAAAGTCAACCATTTCATCAAGTTGCTTTTTATACTGCGCACTTAGCAACTGACCAAGCATTGTCTTCCACTTTTTCGATTCTGCAATGAAACGTTCCACAGCCTTATCTAGAAGTATTTACAAGCGACCCAGTAAGCAAATATATATATATATATAACAAATGATATAAATGTCTTACCGACGCGTATTTCAATTGGTCCAATTGTTCTGGTTAATTTCATTTTCTCAATATCACTAGTTATTTTATCGTAGTATTCAAATTTATCACGTATATCTATAGTCAAAGGAAGTGTGTCTACAAAAGCTTGTATGATGTTCTCACGTTCATCGGACCACAAGTACTTATATTTATTGTAAAAGTTCTAATATATATTATATCATACAATAATAATTATTAGTAAGAATATACATCTATAATTATTTATTAAAATAATAAATTTTATACATACATGTAAATATTGGTCAATATCATTCTTATACAACATAAGACCAGAAGCTATATTTTGTATAGCTCTTTGCACATCCTTATGTTCTATTACATAGCGGTAAAAGTTGCGGTCATATCGATTTTCATCTGTGAATATAATTTATTAATAATGCGCCATTGATATTGAAAATCCTTGCTATCTTACCTATTGTTACTCTACGCAGTCTTCTCTCATAGGTCTTGGCTTGTTTACCCCAAGTAGAAACGAAGTAGTTAATTTCGGTACAAACTTGTACTGCTGCATAAAAATGTTGTTGCATCAGTTCCAACGATGGATCAATAGTACATCCATTAACAAAATCCAGATACAAATCAGTGTATAGAATTGGGTTTTGATTGAATGTACGGTAATTAGATCTTTAGGAAAAACATGGTATGAATAAAAGTTACATGAAATACAAGTTGATATATTTTATATTATTTGAATAAGTCTATTTACTTTAAGATATTATGTCGTATAAAATCTAACGATCTTTTTGAGCATGTTACAAGCGCTTGTATCATTTTTGAGTTATAAAAGGAAAATAGATCCATACAATCATTTCGTAAATGATATAATTCGTATCTTAAAGTTTCATAATTCTTGAACTGCATCGATTTTAGTATATCGTCCGGTGCTAAGTAAATTGTACGATATATTTTATGAAATTGTATCCAATCCCATTTATCAACTGGCAGAGCGCTTTCTACACGCCAATTATTGTCATTAATCTTTTCTGCTGGCAGCTGATAGACGCGTCGTCCTTTTGAATCAATTGGACCAAAATTCAGCAATTCAACAAACATATTAATTAAATCGACCACGGCACGTTCCAGACATATTGATGTTTTTTCCAATTCCAACTCTAAACAATTCAATAAAGTTTTAAAATGTTAATGTTAATGTTATTATTATATATACAAAGAAAATAATTGTTTTGGAAACAATCGTATAGGAACTGGAGGCATCCATTTACAATATTAAACAAGTTACATGGTGGTAAAAAAAAGTACTGATTAAAAACTTCATTCAATCTTCCATTATCTAATATGTTTTTGTACATAAAAGGGTTTTGAAATGTTATGAGACATTTTTCAAGAACCCTAAATAATTTCAGAATTGTTGTAAAATACTTATTGACTGTTTCTTATAAGTCATAAGCAACGTAGATATTTTTAATATATCTAGTTATATTATTTTTATCATTAAATATAAATATCCTTTTATAGTTATTTAATAGATCTAAATTCAGCTACTTGGATGAATCATTTTTAAGTCATTGGAGTGTTTTTAATTATACATTCCATCTATGTAAATTTTTTATTAGTACTACGAATCTCGATTAATATTGTAAATCGTAACCTCCCCATTAGACGATTTTTAGCATTTCTTAGATAAAGGCATGATCTTGAGCATTTATACAATTTATTTACAAAACATCCTGTATTTTTATTTTCTTGATATATTACCTAATTCCTGTCTGAGCTTATTGCTTTCGTCCAAAAAAACTTCTGAAAGTACGGGTGCTGGGGGCATATAGACATATAAAAAACGTGTTAAATACTCAATCTCTCTAGAAACACGTATCTCATCAATACTGGTTACATATTTATAAAAAGTTGCAACTTGTGTTATTCTCTGTAATATAAAGTGTATATAATTTTTTAAATAAATACAGTTTGCTGATTTCTTAAAAGAGCTTACCTTTTGCGCTGCTGCTATAAAATCCTCAAGATTCTCAGAAATCCAAGTGATTCTTGATAAGCCAGGCTTTAATAGAAGTATTATTTCTTGTAATCGAAAACGCATTATGTTTATAAAGACTGAACTAATTGATGTACGCAACTTATCGAAATCATCTAATGCAATTTGCAATGCTGCGCCCATATTTAATAAGTGTTTCTTGCAATATGTGATAACGCTAGCAATATTGGGTACCGCTACATCAATAAAAATACTATGTAAATTCTTCACATTAACAAAAGTTTATAGGTATTAACTTACTTAAATTCATTTTCAGCATCCATTGGGTTTCTTCAATTAATTGTACAATTGCATTATCGAGTGTTACACTGTATTCAGCATCTTCGCTCTTACAAATTAGAACAGGTGCATTTATCAAGCACCGCACCTCTTCAGCATAGTCATACCAGGCCTTATGATAAGTCATTTCGTAGTGGCATATAATACCATTCATATAGTTATAGTAACGTACAGTACGCTGAGCTTTTCGATGTCCAAGTACGCATGGTCTCACTTTTAAAATTTTCATTGGTTCATCAATTTTTTTAAAAATTGATCGTATCCAAAGTATACGTCCAGCCACAGGTGGCATATTTCTCGGTAAAAACGGACATCCACGTTCTTCATTATATCTATAAAATCATTTATATACATATATATATGTATAATATGTTAAAACAGAAAAAAACTTTTATACATGAAGTACATACACATCTTTAAGATTTATCATTTCCTGCTCTAACATTTCTGCCACTTCCAAATATCTACGATCCAAGCATAAGCAATCCAAATTCAATTTTTCAAAACGCTGCAATATCAGTAACAAGGCATCAGTCACGGGCACACCAGTCATTAAAAATTTCACATACTGCTGCATACCGATTTCAGCTTGTTCTATATCTCGCATATAAATTTTAAAATCTTTATCAAACAGATCAGAACGATAATTTAACGGATCGTAGGGCTTCACATTCATTGCTGCCCGCGCTGCCTTTATTTGTGCATTGAATTTCTCCATACCGCTTATGCATATTCGATCCAATACCGAATAAGTAATTTCGGTATTGAATATAACTTTAACCTATATATAAAAATACTTATTAGTTTCTAAAACTTGAAATGAAACTTGAAAGAATAGGTGCCTTCCACTAGTTACGCGAATATGAAAGATCATACTTACTTTAGAAAGTCGTTCCAAAAAGAAATCTACACATGTAAATATGTATACAGAAGAGACTTTCCAAGGATTTTCTTTTGCATTCGCCATATCTTCGACTGTCCCTTCATATACTTTTTTGTAAAATTCTATTATTTCATTACATTTTTCTATTCGTTCAATGATAATCTTGGGATCTACACGCCAAATGGATACAGTGCCATTTTCAGTTAGGAAATTCTTACTTGTTATCGTTAACTGGTTTGAGATCTTAACAAATAGACCAGTAACGTTAATAGGAGTATTAAAATAATGTGCTGTTTTCGAAACATTTCGAATAGCAACCATTAGACCTGGTAAGCTATTTGTTATTTCAACAGGATTGGATCTTAAAAAATTATTCGATTAAAAAAATTTTTAATTCTCCATCACTTAAAAAATTGATATATATAAAATATGAATGCAGTTAAAGTACCTATAGAGTGGATCCCAGAATTTTTGTAAAGATGTAATATAACGCACATTGTCCTTTGCCTCATTGAGCGCAATAGTAACTAAGTTATCTATTTCCGCCCATTTCTAATATAATGATCATTTATATTTTAAAAGTATGTATTTTAATGAAAGTAAGATATTTTTTACCTTTAAAAGCTTTGAAGCACGTGAGAGAGTGAGGCACATCTTGTGATTAACAAACGCCTTACTCGCTACAAATTCGGTAATTGATGTATAACGAGCCAACATACGACGCCAATTAACAAGCATCTGTAAGGGCCCCACATCGGGAGTATCTCGTAATATTTGTTGACCTTCAGTTAGTATAGCTTGTATCTGTTTCATCCATTGTGAAAAATATTTTTCAACTGTACGTACACGTTCCATATCTTTAGAGGTATTTAAAATTTGAAATCTAACTAACAGTCGTCCCTTAAATAGATCGTGGTTGACATCAAATCTTACACGTGTGGATACTGTTCGCTCTGAAGATCGCATAAAAGTATTAAACATATCTAAAATATGGAAGAATTTTTCTTTTTGTTGTGATTCGGCTACACCAAAATCAGTAACCGATTCTACTGATTTCGTTAAAATGTCATCTAAGAAATTTTTCACAACTAATAGACAACTATCTGGTTTTCTCGCATCTAGTATAAACATGCCTACTTCGTCAGAGACCAAACGATTTTCCACATTTTTATTATTATTGTTGCGATAAACCACCAACCATTTTCCTTTGAGTATGATACGGTCTGGTGGTAAACAGACCGTACGTTTTATAGGCGAATATTTAGTTTTAGGATTTGCTCGTCCCGAACGTGTTGGATAACCAAACATATCAGCATAACTAATCATGCAAGCACGTTGGCCCTTTTCACTAAACAATGATAGCAATGAATCGGTATATGAGATTTTATCAATAAGGCCTGCTATAAGCTCATCGATATCCACTCCCATTACATCCGCACATATTTCGAGTACATACCTTTCATTCGCTCCAAGACTAGAAAGACGTTGCTGACGTAGTTCTTTGAAGTATTGTAAGCGCTTTCTTTCTATCTCTTCACGCTCCTGATCAACGACGCTTATGCGTCTTGAAGTTTGTTTTTGTATTGCACGAGAAACGCCAAAAAGTTTATGCAATTTCTTAATATTTTTATCCGGATCCGGATTCATTTTTCTGCTTTGTAAATTGTTCACGAATATAAAGAGAAACACATATGCTTGTTTTAAAAAAAATTTGTTATAAATTTGAATATAATTTAAAATAAAGATATGTTGAAAATATTGAAAAAATTTATTTTAAAAAAACAAAGTAAAAGCATTTCCATTCTGTTATAATAATAGATTATCAAACTAATCATTTTCAATAGCGGAAACGTGAATCTTATCGCAAGGTCTTACTGAACTATACAATTGTGTAGCGAAAAGCTTTATTGTAAAAATATTTGACCTACAGTTAAGTCTCTGGCCGTACATTAAAAATTAATCGAAGAACGTCCGGTGTTCCACTTTTGATCCAAGTTAAAGCAGAACAGTCACAGAGCATGCGACTAGAACTTACACAGTTTCTAGGCAGAGACGTTATACTGCACCATAGATCCATATTAAAACGATAAAATAAGTAATATGTATATGACATTATATAAAATTAATGTAACTTCTTAAAGGCGAACATAATGTCTATTGCCGGTTTATGCCTCGGACTTCTATTTTTAAGATAAACCCGTAATAATAGAACAACCTATTATTTCTGCTCGAGTAAACTTTACTGTACAAGACTGAGGCTGTCACTGCAACCTAACCTAACCTAACCTATATTATATTTAAGTGTTAGCACAACATAGGCCTGTTAATTCAAGAATGCTTTTTGTTTTCTGAGGTCCTTTTACTGAGGACAACAAACACTGACATCTGTCGTAACAAAGCTAGTAGTTTTTTTTGCTCAGTTCATTAGGTCATATATTGCGAAATTGTGATTATGTTTTTTAGATAAAATATGTCCTATTAAAATACACCTGTAGCTTTATTTAAAATTTATAATATTGTTTATATTTTAAATTTTATTTATGTAAAATTTATATTTTTTAAAAACATTTATAAGCTTAATCAGTTTGACACTTGCCAAAAGACCCGGCTTATTTAGACTCTTTAGGCACTCACTGTGCTATGAGATGCGGATTATTAACGCTGTTTATATGGGCTCATTGTCAAACCACACTTTAACGAGCACGCTTACTGTTTGTCGGGACTATAATAAAGATGGTTCTATTTGAAACTGGGAAACTACTGTTTCATTATAATGAAATGAGCAAGGCCTTTAATTCCTGCTTTATTAAATAGTCTAATTTATTTTTAGATATGTTCTTTCTACTCTCCAAAGTGCATATTGATTCTAGATTAAAACAATTTATTTGTTCTTGAAAATATATTTTGTTTCTAAATATATCAGTAAAGAGAAAATTCAAAATGCATACACGCCATCTAGCGAATATCGGGCAGTGACAAAGTAGGTTGGTGACATTTTCACTTTCTTCTTTGAATCATAACTAAAGTAGTAGTCGTTGAATATATAGTCCATCAACGATTAGCATGGCTGCTATATGACATTTTCTCGTTTGTACCGCGATTGAATCTACTCATCAGTGGATGCGGTCTAAAATAGCGAAATAGCGAATTATCTTATTTTTTTTATTTAATTTATTGAGAGTTCATGTCACATGCTACCATCATGTCATATGAAGTGATCCATATAGTAATGGTTAAACCCAAATAAAGTCTTCAATAGAAAACATAAATTAATTGAATCAATTTTCGGCTAATGAAGTCTCAAATTTTTGACTTGTAACGGAATCGTATGTTCCCCTGCTCTTAATTAAAGCGATTGATCAATGTTTTTTTTTTCTAAATTTATTGTTAAATCGCTATATACACGTAAAATAAATTTAGTTCATTTAAATTTTGGTTATATTTTCTATTTTCTAAGGTCAAATTAATTTATTTTTTATACAAAAAAAAAAAAGATCTCAATACTCTAGCGTGAGAACTGTAACAATAATTATCCATTAAAGCGTAATATATTCGCTTCCTAAATTATCTGCAATAATTTTTTTAAGTATGTCAAGTGCAAAACTCTATAAATCTTTTCGCAAGTAAAATAAAATATTTAAATTTATTAGCGATAAATTTTTTTTTGTAAATAATATTAATAAATTTATAAAATTTCACTTTCAGTGGAGCAACACACTCACATTTAGTGATCTGCGATGAGAATGGAGAGTGTTGCGCTATAACCACTGGCCTTGGAACTAATCATTGGATGGTTGGAATAGCAGAATGTGCAAGACGCATAGCTGATATGGTAGAGCGAGCAAAAAATGATGCCGGTATACCTCAGGAGACACGTTTAACCAGTTTAGGTCTAAGTTTAAGCGGTTGTGAGCAGGTCAGGTTTTATTATTAATACTACAAACATACCAGTATATTTCTGTTATTAATATTGCTTTTCAAAATTATTCAAAACTTTTGTTTATAGATTTCTATTTTGCTTTCTTTCAACTAGTTTTTATAGATTAAGTCTTTGATAAGAGTATTGAATTTTTTCTAAATTTATTTATTTATTTACTTTTGCTTATATTGAATTTCTGCGATAATCAACATATAATTCCCACTACAGCAAGAATCAAATCGTGAGCTTTCGCTGGAACTGCGTAATTCCTTTCCCGACATCTCAGATAGCTATGTTGTTTGCAGTGATACTATGGGCAGTGTTTTCACTGCCTCTCCAATCGGTGGCATGGTTGTTATATCCGGAACTGGTTCAAATGCTTTGCTAAAAAATCCTGATGGTAGCACACACAATTGCGGTGGTTGGGGACATTTTCTAGGCGATGAGGGTAGTGGTAAGTCATTTTTAAATATATTTAGTCTATTCAAGAACAAGGTTTGTTTTTTTCTGTTTATTAATTGCAATTACGTTGTTGACCTTATTATTGCTTTGAGGCTTTTAATTGTCGCTAAAAATTCACTGATAACAAATAAATGACATATATTTAAATTTTTTTTTTTTATTTGCAAATATAATATATAAATATAGACAATAATTAAATGTATTAAAAAAAATAGCAAGTGTTTGTTTACATATAAACTGGTTTGAAATTTTTTAAAAGGAAGAATTTCATTGAACCTCTTATATCTCATGCTATAAACAATGCACACTAAGTAGAAATTTCTTTTTTTATATACAAATAGTATATTTAATTTAATATATTTATGTATATTATATATAAATTATATTAATTTATGTACTCCTACATTTTATTAATATATTTTTTTAATCTGTTAGTAATTGTATATTATAAGTTTCTTTATATTTTTATTTATTTATATATTATTTTATACTTTTGTTAATTTTTTTTGCATATATAATATATATATGTAAATCATATAATACTAGCAAAAAAATATTTTTATTTTAGCTAACTTTTTGATACTTTTTTTAATTGAAAATAATATTTCCCATAGAATATATTAGAGAATATACAGGGCACTAGTTCCCAGTGGAGCATAGATTTGCGACTATGGTGGATATTTTGTGTTTCTCACCGACATAAGACATTCCACGCTATAAATAAAAACCGGTTTGTCCGCCGCCTTCAATACCTGTAAATCTATAATATAATGCTCTCTCATACAGAGAGCACAAATTAATTGACAAAGTGAGAGCACTTGTACCAAGATTAAAGACAACAATTTAATACTAGCAAACTATATAACTGATAGAACAGGAAATCGATATTATCAACTCTCCCTTTAAGCCATTATTGCCGAATAATCATTTACTATTTACATAGGTAAAATTAAAGTCGCTAATGTCACATTATATGTAGCGTACACTATAAAGTCTAAAGCGTTTGATCACTTATATAAACTGTTAATATAATGTCTATAATTTAAAACCATTTTAACCATAAATGTATAGAGGACGCTTTAATGTTCCCTTAAAACCCTTTCAAAGATAATAACTCTTACTAAAATTATTTAGAATTTCATTAAATGAGTAATATCTGTACCATTGTGATAGAGTTTAAGGATGAAAGGGTAGAATTAAAGAAACCTAAAAGCCGTAAAATATACTCCAACTCTCAAAAAAAAAAGATATTAAACTTCCACGTATAACATATATTAAATATTTTATTCATGTTTCTATCATTTTCTATTTCAGCCTGGCATATATCGCATCGCGCCATGAAAACAGTCTTCGATGATATGGACAATTTTGCAAAATCACCTTACCCGGTGGAACGTATTTGGGAGCTAATACAGCAACATTTTAATATAAAAACTCGTTTGGATTTATTGCCTCATTGCTATGCAAAATTTGATAAATCATTCTATGCTAGTCTCTGTAAGAAGTTAGCACTTGTCGCCGTTGAAGAGGACAACGAACTGGCGAAATCTCTATTTACCGATGCCGGTCGACAAATTGCACGCAGCATAACTGCACTATTGCCAAAAGTCAGTCACAGCCTAGTTGACTCAGGTGAATTGAATATTGTGTGTGTCGGTTCAGTTTGGCATAGTTGGCAATTGCTACGTGAGGGTTTTATCAAAGAGCTCAGTCTATATACGGTACCATTTCGCTTGAATCTAGTCACTCTAACAAAAAGCAGCGCTTACGGTGCTTGTTACATGGGTGCTGATGCAATTCAGTACGATTTAGCTAGAAATTATTCCGACAATGTCAAGATCATGTTCCAATATACGTGCAAAAACAGTGCCAAAGCGAATGGCAACGGTTATTGCCAATCCAATGACATTCCACCTGAAGGCAGGGTATAATTTATGCAGTGTTAGCAGTGGAACTGAGAAAGTAAAGTGTCAAATCGCACCGTTTGCATAATATATATGCAAAACTACAGAACAATAACAAAAAAAGACATTCCAGTTGTAGTATTTGTTAATAGAAAATTATACACATTTATACAGTACATCGTAAATTATATATATATGTAGATATATGAATATATTTTTTATAAATGGATTTGCGGTTTAAATTGCAAAACGATTTTTACATTAGCGAAATATAACTACAGTTAAAATTTTATTTTGTTTTTATTGGCAATACATTCAATTCAATTGTTTATAAATAAATGATAAATACATTTGTAAAATATTATATATGAAATAAATAAAAATAAATTCTTTATATAATAATTGCAACGCAGTTTTTTACTGTTACTAGTCGGTAGAATAAATTAATTCATTAAGCAAATTCGAATCAGTTTCATATTTCGAACTATTTTTAATTGTAGAAAAACTTGTAAGCAAAATAAAATAATTAGAAAGTTATAGAATATCAGACAGACATATTAAAAATATATATCAGACATATTCATTATTAATCGTTATTTATAATATTCTATATTTTGAACTGGTTATATTATTATTACGACTCAGTAGATTATCAAATCAGTAGATTATTGATTAATTTAATTTTGATCTATCTATTTTGGACGGAGTACTTTTTTTCCCCAAAAGATAACAATTTTTATTATTTGTCATATTTAATATTTAATTTATTTTAAGAGATTGAAAATACAATCAGTAGCGCTTTTACTCTACGTTGCATCTCTCAATCCATCTCTCAATAAATAAAAAAATTATAACAACAGAGTGAAGAACTGGAAGGTCCAGTATAAACAAGGGTTTATTGCGTTGTATTGTCATCTTCAACACCACGTTTGCATAGCAACAAATCTCTCTAAAGATGAAAGACGTTTTCTTTGTGTAGAAAGAACTGTCCTATTCAATTGTGGCCAGTGTCCAGTGCTCAGGATATAGCGATATGCTAAACAGTAACTCCACTTCTCATGACAACGTTGTGTTTTCTTATTAAAATGTACACTCTAATTTGAGCCATATTGATTTAATGCTTCGCCTCATTAAAGTCGCAAGTCTATCCAGAATAGTTTCGGTTACTACCTACCCATAGTCTAATTCCTCTCACATTCCATATAATTCTTTTTTTTTACCACCCATCTTTACCTAATTGGGGAGTCATGCCTTTCCACGTTGCTCTTAAGCTGACCTCTACTTGGCGCATGTACAAACGTTAAACGTTGGGGTACTACAACGGGTCATTATATGAGCTTAAGTGAGCTTTGGGCATAAGGCCTCCGGCTTAACCCACCTATCCTTGAAACGAAATTGTTGAGATTTATTTATAACATAGTGGAAGCATGTTCTTGCTATCTGGATCTAACATACAATTTTAACTGTCCTTTGAGAAAAATATACTGGCTTAAGTAGCAGATGTTTTATCATTAGAAGAGACTCCTTTGAATTCATTTTTGCAGAGTGATCTGAAAATTTTGTGAATTAGTAGGGATTAATTAAATTACTTTTTTGTGTTTATTTTTCGGATTTCTGACTTTCTGTGATTTATTGGGATTAACATATATGTACTTGTCATAACATAATGGTTTTAATAATACATTTGCGTTTATTATTAGACGTCGATAAATTTTAAATAAGTATTATATAAGAAAGTGCTACAATAAAAACAACAGCTTTAAATATATGAATTATTTATTAGAAATATGTAAAAATGTATTAGTTTCGTATGCTTGTATATATCTATTATTGTATTTATATAATATATATTAAGCATATATAACTATATATATTTAATATATAATTATTTTATATATATAAATATTTATAATTTGTGAAAAATTCATTAAAAAACAAAAATCTATCGTTTACTGGTAACAAAAACTATTGTCATATTAATTTGTTATTATAAAAGGCAAAATAATAGTAAGTAATGGTAATTAAAAATGCAATATAAAGTAACTTCCGTACTATATAAATGCTCGAAGTGTAAATACTTATATTTTTGAAAACCAAACTAACATCGAGGTTAGTATATTCTTTGGTTTTTCTGTTTTTCTTTTTGTTTTTGTATAAAAATGAAGCAAGTATAAAAACAAAGACTGGAAAACGTATAACATTAAATAATTTACAATATCTTTTATAATTAAAATATATATTTAAATATTTTTTCATTGTATGCGAAAAACTAATTGAAAATGTAGGAAAAAAATTCTATATTATTAATAACAATCTGTGATATACGAGAGAATCATAGTAAAAATTTTACTAATAGTTTTTTTAGTTTGTTGCTTAAAAGAGAAGCAACACTTAATTTAACTTAGTATGTATATAAAATCTAAGTGGCTAAGAGAACTACTTAATCATAAAACTTACACTTAAAAGCGCAGTTTTCTAATTTTGCATATATATTTAAATACTCATACTTAGTTATTTAAACTTTGTCTCAACTTGTTAGGGTCTTGATAATGTGAAGAAATAACCGAAGGATGTTGTGGTGGTGGGAAGCAACGTACATGTTCAACATTTGATCCTTCACCATCGCCACTTTTCAGATATTTATTTAGAATAGCAAAAATTTGTGAATTTAATACTTGAAAACGACGTATGCGATCCACCATACGTTTCAGTTTCTGTAAACAAAACAAAAAAAAAAACAATTATAATACAGTAATAAAACAGAAATAAATATAAAATACTAACGATTCCTTTCACATCCTCATCTTTTCCATCAACTCGTTGCACGCGTAATATATGATAACAGAAATCTAAAGCCTCAAAGCGTCGTTGTTGGCCGAGCAGTACAATCATAGCGCAACCGGCCCAATTAAGACCTTCACCAAAGAGTTCTTCAATGGTATATTCTGTACCACGCACCGGTATACAATAAACAAACTGTAAGGCTGACCAAAGTCTATGAAATTCTGAACATTCATCAACATGTATAATTCCATTGGCTGGCGGAGGACCACACCAGACTGGATCATCTAAATAACCTTTGATGCGATTTAATATAACTTCGAAAATGCTTAAACCACAACAAAGGCGTTCTCGTGTTAGTAGATCACCTTCACGTGCAATCATGGCTTGCTGTTGGAATAAAATAAAAAACAATTGTTAGTATTAAAATTATAATGTATCTTAAAAAATTATTATTATTAATAGTTAAAAAAATCACTCTCGTTTAATAAAGAAATAGATTTAAAACCTTACAATTTATTACAAGGTTTATATTAAATTATATATATACATATAATATAATTTATATATTATATATTATGTTAATAAAATTATGACATAGTAGAATATAACTTCAAATACCTTAGCAGTGCCTATCTTCTCCACATTTGACACTATCTGTAAGTTCGCAAATTGAGCTTCGAGACGTTTTTGTTTGGCTTCTGGTTTCTCGTTTTCTAAATAATTCAAAATAAGCATAAATTAATAAATTATTAAAATTGCAATTGACTTATTATTAATTAACTTACCTTTACAAAATGGTCTTGGAAATATATTTTGAAATAGCGCTGCGTGTAATAAATCACACACTTCTTCCTGTGATAAAGCTTGTTCGATTAGTAAACAGAATATAATACAATTTCCAAATTCTCGAAATGATTGGAATAACTCCGTTTTTGTATCAGGATATTGCACAATATCAGTTAAATGTGCTTGGTAATAACTAAGCACACCTGGTGAGCCATATTCGCAACGTGGTAGTTTGCAAGATTTGGGCATAGCACTCATAAGAGTTTTTGTAAATTGCAATAGACAACCTTGTATTAAAGGTTTAACGATATCTTTTAGGATTACATCCATTACCACTGCTATGCCTTGATATCCAAGCAAACGGCACATAGCATGAAAATGCGGTGCACCAACAAAGCCTGTATATTGTCCATACTGTGTTGAATAAGCAGCATTCAATTGCTTTGAACCCCATAGGTAGTAATGAGACATTTGCGCTGGCTTGTCGCGATGTATTGGTTGAGTGGATGATAAATTGACTTTGCTGCGTACAAAACTAGAATAGAAAATGTGAATTTTATTTAATTTGAGATACTTTTAAAGAATGAGATAAATTATATATTTATCAAATTAAATGCAGTGCTTGAGTTCATTTATATCAAAGTCAAATATATATTTATAACATATTTATAAATATATATAAAGTCATATAGTCAATTACAAAACAAGTGTTTTGAACTATATTTATATATTTATAAATTACATGTACAATAAAGGAAAAATATTTAAAATCAGTATAATTTTATACCATAAACGCGATACCTACCGATTTGTTGCTGCATTGTAGCAATAACTAACCAAAAAATCATAATTCAATTCCACAAAAACATGTAAAGTAATGCGTCCATATGGTGCTAAAACGTTGTGATTTGCCTCTTTAGCCATTGCATCAAAATTATCCAAAGCTAAATATTTGCTTAGAAGCTTGTGACAAATTCGATTGGCTTCTAACAAACCCTCAAGTTCCTAAAAAAACAATTCAATAATAATTTTAAATGTATTTTCTTGTTTAATATACAAAAGGTAGATATTTTTGAAACTGTTTGAAGTTTACCTCATATATGTTTAACTTACCACAATTCCAGTAATATCATTTGCTTCAAATCGACTTATGGCCAATTCAATACTCTTGTGCATATTTACATTGATTCGTTGTGTTATAAGTTTATTTAAATCAATAGACCGACCTTATTTAAATAAATAATCATTTAAATATTATTAAACAATTCATCAAATCACACAAAACGTACCCAGCAGTTGCACATGACGTTGCTTCAAAAGTGTTTCATAGCGATTATTGCGAGGATAAGACTGAAAATTAAAACCAAGTACTTCACATTCCAAACGGAAACGTTTATCCAAAAATATGCTATATAATAATAAAAAAAATATTATTTATTATTTCGGCATGTCGATTGAATTAGCTCACCTTCCCGCTAATTGCTTATAGTGCGCAAATATCTGTTCACTTAAATTGTAAACAAATTGATCAAAACATAAATTTACTTCTGCTTCCACTTCATCATACAAGAACTGCTTACGAAATACTGTCAAAGCATAATGAGCCGAATCGTTGTACAAATCCAAAGGATATAAAACAAATCTGAAAGCAAACATAAATACTGTTAGTAGTGTTTATTAATATTAAGTATTTTAATTAACTTACTCCATCATAGAGGGTTCCTTTGTTTGCAAAATATGATCTGTTAATATCCAAGGCATAGACATTTCAATTGGAAATTGTATGCGTTTTTCCATAGTAATTAAATCTTTACATTCCTCATTATGCTGGTGACGTACCATACATTTGTTGACTTTACGCCCCATCGTCATTTCCAAATAGAATTCCCTATACCATAGTTGCGAAAGGTCGCAGCTTTTTTGTAAGGTTTCACTAAAGTTAAGCAAATAACTCCAGTAAAATGATGTCTTGTGGAAAGTATCAATTTGCATTAAACATGTGCCATCAATATCCTTACGCAGAGTGCGTTTCCCACCACTTTTATCAGCTATAAGCGATTCCAACATAGTGCGCACCATATAGAGTTGTGTAGATGATGGACCCACATTTAAACGTGGCACATGTATACGAAATCCGCCATCGGGATCTTTTTTGCCTTTTCCTGCGGGATCATCAGTAGGTTCGTAACCTTTCTGCCAATCGGCTGATGTTTCACGCACTGACATTATTATACTACGTATAAGATCTTTTTTATTTTTGACAGCTTTACGTAAGGGTTCGCGCAGTGTAACTTGTACAAAATCCTGTAATTCTGAATATATATTTCGACGTATAGCTTCACACAGTACTGTTTCAATGCGTGCCATAAGAACCTGCGAAATATATTTTTATTAATTTACATGTAATGAATAAACAATTCTGTAAACATTTACCTGTAAACCTTTGATCATTGCTATTACTTCAATCAGTGCAAATTTCTCTTCTGAAGTGTAGTTGTAGCGCGTCGCACGTTCATATTCCTCTGCCTCTACGGGACATTCTTTATTTTGGTGATGGTCGGTAGGATGCAAAAGTTTCCAAGAATACAATTCAGTCACTACACTTGTCCACTCTGAGAGTAACTGTAAGCCACGTAGTGCTAAATCTGATGTAGCGCGATTTTCTGCATCAGTCGGATTTTCTTTAACCGTTGTTGTGACTTCGTTTGTATAACGCGCCAATTCAGATATATACTTAACATGATCTTCACGTATCTGTGGTAAATGTACCATTAAGTCAGCCTGTGGACTAATTGCGTTTGAACTGG